AGCGCCTGGTAACCACCATTCTGCTTTCTGTCTATATGAATTTAACTACTCTAGGGACCTCATATAAGTGGAATCTATAATATTTGTCCTTTTGTGAATGGCTTATTTCACTTAGCATAATGTTTTGAAGATTCATTCATGCTGTAGCATTTCTTTCCTTTCTAAGGCTAATATTCCATTGTATATTTATACCACACTTTGTTTATCCATTCCTCTGTTGATGAACACTTGAATTGCTTCTACCTTTTGGCTACTGTGAACGGTGCTGCTAAGAATCCGTGTGTTTGGAGGCAGACTTTCTACTGTGGGGAAAAATTAAGGAAGGAAAGGATATTTTTTCTTCTGATAGAGCTGGGTTCATAACACCAATATATTCAGCTTTCAATTTTCAGAACTGTACTTTTGAGACACCTCATAGTGTAGTTAGTAAATACTATGTCATCCTTGCTTTCTCAGAGTACATTCTGATCATCTGAAATCAGAATTCCTACCTGCTTATTGTGACTACTCCTTGTTTGTGAAAGGATGGCTGTTGATTTTGTTGCATGTTTTACAGGAGGTCGTTCTACATAATGATTTCTCTATATAGTCCCACCCTACATAAATCATTTTTAAGGCTTATATTTGATACATTATTTTTAATAGCTGTTTTTCACTCTCATATTGGTATCAACAGTATTCTTCTAAACGAGTAGCATTATTTGTCACCTAGAAAGCCACCTACAAATGAAGGAGAAATAGCAGGTTTTGGAAGTCACCTATTTTAGTCCACTCAGATATACCTCAGTGAGAGACCTACTTATTTAACTAACAAGGCTTGATTATTTCTCTGCCAAATATACCTCTTCGCGTACTTTCAAGCTGTTTCATGGGAATAGAGAGGCAGCCTGAAAGACTTCAGTATCTTTATGTTGGAGCTTCTGTGTGTGATTCCCCACAGGGCCCCCAATCCTGGGTAGTTGAGATAGCCACATAGAGCAGATCAGTGAAAACCAGTGCCTGACCCTGGACAACACCCGCCCCTTCCCGGTGAAGGGATGCAGTCCAGATGAGCAGCAGGGCCATTCCGAATGTCAGATTAAGTTGTTAGGTGGAATTTTCCCAGTTCCGCCCAGAGTTCTGCTTAGAAACCCAAGATTAGGAATTTACAGTTAAAAATATTACTTTGCTTAGCAGTCTGGTTTTTAATTTGCATCCTGCTTATTTCCTGATTTCTTCTTAGATCGTCACGGACTCTGCTTCTGTGGAGCGTTTGTTGGGGAAGACCGATGTCCAGCGGCCCCAGGTGATAGAGTACTGTGTGGTCTGTGGTGACAAAGCCTCTGGTAAGTAATCCTAGGATATTCTGGGTGCGCAGCATGGATCAACATCATGAACCAAATTGGCGATTGGGGGTAGTAATGGAGAGAAAATATTTTCTATCGGTTTGTAGGTTTCAGAACATGAATTCTACTTTATTACTGGGGTAGTGATTTTATATATACATATGGAAACCAGTTTGTCACATTATTAGAATCAAAAGGAAAAGTCGCAAAACTTTTTGTGATCTGTAAATCTTGGTTAAGTGTTGGATATGTATGTGCTACTAAGAAAGTAATCACTTCTTTAGTCAGTATTTGCACAATGCTTTGCTATTTCACAAAATGTGTTATTTATTCCCCCTTCATCCTAACTATTAACTGTCTCTGTCATCCCCTCACTGTAACCTAGTGTGACAAACTGCTGAAACAGAGGTGGAGGGAGTGTGTGATTCTGGCTGGAGTCCCAGGGTCAGGATATCTGTAAGCCTTGGAGGTTGAGTGCGTGCATGTTGGGTAAAGCAGAAGGGCATTCCAGCTGGTGGAGCCAGGGCCCAGAGAGTTTAATATCCACACCCATGGTGTCTTCAGGTCAGAGTTCTTGGGCTTGCGTGGTTAGTATTTGGGTACAAGAAGACTGGAGAATATGTCTGGCTCAAAAGTTCAGACTTTGGCCTGCTAAAACTGGAGAGTGTAGAAAATAAGTGAAGTCAGGGAGGAATGGAAAAATATTTAATAAATTTACAGTTCCAGTGATTCTAGGAGCATAGACCTGAGTTTTGTGATGGCTGCTTGGTTCCACTGTATTCCGTGGTCAGAAAATTCACAGTAACTTTGGATACTTTGTGATCCTGTTTTTGTTTGGTTGGTTGGTTTTTGTTGTTGTTGTTGTTTTAAAAAAAAAAAAGAAGAAGAAGAAGAAGAAGAAGGCTGGACTAGGACTCTTGGGAAAACAGCCCCAGGCAAGCATCTACTGAAGCTCCACTCCCTGTCCCAGCTCGTGACACCACTTGCCTTCTCAGGGGTGTCCTGCCTCTGCTCCTGCCCCTTATCCTGATAAACCCAGCCCATCTCACCCCTTCTCTGAAGCCCTCACCCCTGCTGCCTCTATCCTTATCCCCCTTTTGTACAGACCTCGCTGAGCTTTTGTTGCATTCTCTTTTAATTGATTCTTACAGGCCTGTCTTCCCCACTAGAATGTGCTCTCTTTGTTAGAGCAAGAACCATGTCTGACTTCTCCATCTCTATATCTCCACCTTCTTGCTCAGCAAGGAGAGGCACTCTGCAAAGCTTACAACACATGAATGAAGCATGAACATAACAGAATCTGCTTGACTTTCTCATTTTTCAGTCCCTTTTCGAGCTTAAAGGAACAGCCTAGTCAGGCTCACAGTGCCACTGTCTGCAGATATTATGGTTCACTTTAAGGGCTAGAGAGCCCAAAGAAATAACATGCACAGAAGGAAATATGATGTCTACTTGGTAGGTAATTTTAGCAGGACTGTTCTTAAAGACATAAAATTAAGACCACCCTCCACATGCACCCTTGGGGAATGGCTCTGCATGCTGGAGCTTAGGACAGTGGGATGCTCTGTAGCTGCTGTAAATGATGATCCTGTGAAATGTGTCCTCCCAGCAACATAACTAAGATATTTGGTTACATAGGACTAACCCAGGTGAGCCTATCTATCATCAGTCCTAGCTGAGAACAAATAAGATATAATGCGTGTGGAAACATTTTGTGAAACTAAGAATAAGAAGGATAAACTGAAGCGGAGGGCTCTTTTTAATGTCATTGGTGATGAGAAGTTAGAGACATCAAAGTAACCAAGATTAGAAAAAAAGAGCTGTGTTTAATAAATGTATTTCTAGGACTGTGTTTCCAAAAGGGTTTAACTAGCTAACCCAAGTGAGCCACATGGCAACCTTCCTTCACCTTGGACCTGTGCAGTTTAGTCCCCGTGCTGCTTCCTGTCATCATTCTGCTCCCCCAGGGGAGATCTGGGGCCCAGGATGTGATTCCACAGGAGGAATAAATGTAGGAGTAAGACCCTGTGTGCTAAAGCAGCACATGTGTTTGCTACCTGCCACACTTGGCAGGACAGGGGAGCCGAGTAGCCTCACAAGCCTAGGTCTGCAGAGCCACGACCAGATGCATGCAGAGGACAGTATAGTTCAGCCATCCCCCATCAGCTCTTTTTTATGGTAGGTCCTTTGGATACTAAGAGCATTAAGGTCATGCCATTTACCAGCTGTCACATAACCTGTCTGAACTTAAATTTTTTTATCATGACCTCACAAGGCTACTATAAAGATTGTAGAGAAATTATGTGAAGGACCAGGGTACCATGTTTAGTGTCCAGGCTTGTAGTTGTCCACATGGTGCCAGCATCTTAACTGTACACCAGTTACTTTGATAGACTTGCCTTAAAGACAGGGCCTGTGACGACAAGTCACCTTTTTCCTTGGTGAACCACTTCATGCGCTCCATCTTTTCAGGCCGTCACTATGGGGCTGTCAGTTGTGAAGGTTGCAAAGGTTTCTTCAAAAGGAGCGTAAGGAAAAATTTGACCTACAGCTGCCGGAGCAACCAAGACTGCATTATCAATAAGCACCACCGGAACCGCTGTCAGTTTTGCCGGCTGAAAAAATGCTTAGAGATGGGCATGAAAATGGAATGTGAGTAACAGTATTAAAGAAACCACATGGGTTAACAAGGAGGGAGAAAGTGAGCATGAGTCTATTAAAATAAGTTTCTGTACCTGGCTTTAAAATACAAGAAAAAAATATCCACTCAGGCTTCATTTTAGTTTACCTTCTGGCTCTCAGGTAGTTGCTTTGGCACCAGCGCTGCTGGGGTTCGTCAGTTCCCATGATGTGTACGGAAACCTACTCCAGATAAATCGGGAGGCAGCACTGTGGAGTGCGGTGAACACAGGCTTTGGAGTAAAGCTAATACTAGATCAAACCCCAGATCTGTCACTTAGGAGCTATGAGGCCTGAGAAAGACATGTAGCCTCAGCCACAGGATCCTCCTCTGTGAAATGGAACCCCTTACCTTACTTACATATTGGATCTGGGGCTCAGTCATTCTTTATTTTTAAAAAAGTCTATATTTTCTTCAGTTATTTCTGGAACGTATACCTGTCCTTATACCAGATTGCTGAAGGGAGAGGTTGCTAGGGTGTTAGGAAATTGACACCATTAAACAAGTTTACAGGAGTCATGTAGGCTTGAGTTGGACATCAGAATTGTTTCTCTACAATGTGTGGCATTGGTCAAGCTCTCTGTTAGGAACCCACTTGAAGATTGGTGTTTTTCATCCTGGAGAGAATCCCTTTTTTTTAGCAAGTAAGAATTGAAAACCCAGAGGGCTGTGCAGGCCCCCGCAAGGCCATGCAGATGCCAGGCTGCAGTTCTTCGCAGTCAGTACCCACCATCTTGAGCTCTTTTCACTCCCTTTAGATTTGACATGGCATTGTTTGGCTTTGAACCTTTCTCTCCTTTGACTGACAAGTTCACTGTGAAAATTGAGCTAGACTTTCTAAGGAAGACCCCCTTACTTTAATCATGAAGGATATGGTTTTTATTGATTCCTGTGTTTCCTCTAAACATGACTATGTATGTTGTGATTTAAGCTGTACAGAGTGAACGGAAGCCCTTTGATGTGCAACGGGAGAAACCAAGCAATTGTGCTGCTTCAACTGAGAAAATCTATATCCGGAAAGACCTGAGAAGTCCTCTGATAGCCACTCCCACATTTGTGGCAGATAAAGATGGAACAAGGTTAGTCCCTATTTTGACAGAGCTCAACACTACCGTCAGCCTTTGTTGCTTATTAGAGGAGGCACCAATGGTCCTTGGAAAGGTGGCTTTTATAACTTGCCACCTGCCTGCCACAGCTGTCAGCCTTGTCTTGCTTCATCCTACTCTTTTTGGAGCTGCTCCAGTCAAACCTCTGGACAACCTAAGGATGGCTGATTTAAGATGGGGGCAGAACTTTTCCTTTCTCAGAAACTCAGATAATGTTCTGTAGTTTAGGCATTATTCATACAGGAATGTAGTTATTCTATAATTCAAGACTGGAGCCTTTTCACAGTATAGACCAAAGGTCTAAGTCCCAGTATGGTCCCAGGTAGTACCACAAGTTAACTTATATGTTCTTTTAAATAAAATCTGTTGAATTTAATTTAAAAGGAACAGAGAGAAGGAAAACAAGAAATCCAAATGTATTATAGGGAGAACTAGAGTTCAGAATGCCTTGATGATATTCTGAAGATCAAGTTAACTTTATTTGGCAGAGGGGCCACGGTCAGCATGGAATCCCTGGGGATGTGCGTCTGTGTGTCATCCATCTCAGGCTGTAGACATGGCTGTGTGCACATCTCATTGCAGAGAGAAGAGTGGGGAGTGTTCAGTCATTTGGTGGCTGAGTCTAGTCAGTTTTTCTACTAAGACATCTCTATAGATGTGAAAGGGACAGAAATATAGCATGATCATACTGTGCATTAAATGTTGGAAGCCACTCTGGGTTTCTTTATGTCTTAAATAGACAAACAGGTCTTCTTGATCCAGGGATGCTTGTGAACATCCAGCAGCCTTTGATACGTGAGGATGGTACAGTTCTCCTGGCCACAGATTCCAAGGTAATGTTATGCCTTTTCCTCTACCTTTATGTTGTGGTACAGACGCTTCTCTAAATGTGTGCACCCATCCTCTTCTTGGCCTTCAGAGACCACGTTGAAAGCATGGCCTTCTGCACCTCGATTTACTTCCTGTCATTCAGCCTCCTGTAATTCGTTTTAGGGATGCTGATGGCTTTTCAGAAACTGTTGAGGTTGACTGATTGTAGTCATTACAACAAGGTCTAGAGTTCAATTTGGTAAAAGTTCTATGGTTCTCTTCTCTATTAAGATTTTCCCCATGGTACACACAATGGCAAACTACTGACATGCTGAGAAAATAGCTCCTTATCCTAAGATGGCCTTTTGCAGAAGCCTATTTCCCCACATCCTCCTGTTGTCTGCCTTTTTGATTATTGCCGTCCTAGTGGGTGTGAAGTGATACCATGGTTTGTTTTGCATTTCCAGTGATGTTGAGTATCTTTTCACGTGCTTATTGGCTGTTTATGTATCTTCTTTGAAGAAATGTTTACTTAAATCCTTTGCCCATTTTTAACTCCCTTATTTATCTTTTTATTATTGAGTTGTGTGATTCTTTTTTACATATTCTGGCAACTAAATCATTATTAGATGTATGATTTGCAAATATTTCCTCCCATTCTGTGGATTTTCTTGTGTAGGGGGGTGTCTTTTTACTTTCTTGATAATATCTTTTGAAGCACAAAAGTTTAAATGTTGGCGATGTCCAGTTTGTATCTTTTTGTTCTGTCATTTTATTACATGTGTAGATTTGTGTCACTACTAGCACAATCAAGATATAGAACTATCTCATCACCAGAAAGATCTTACTCATGCTGCCCATTGTAGTCATGCCCCCAGAGAAGCTGCTTTTAAACCAATGTTACACCTTCATTAGCCTGAGAGTCTTTTATGTGTATGTATATGTGTTCATCTTTTAATGATACTATTTTTTTGTTTAATAGGCTGAAACAAGCCAGGGAGCGCTGGGCACACTGGCAAATGTAGTAACCTCCCTTGCCAATTTAAGTGAATCCCTTAATAATGGCGACACTTCGGAAATGCAGTCAGAGGACCAGTCTGCAAGTGAGATTACTCGGTATGAGCCCATGAGGGTGGAGGCCCCCCTCCTGACTGACACGCACACACAGTTGCTACATTGTGAGGGTGGGTGGCGGCATTTTGACACCCACTCCGTATTTCCTTAAGAATTGTAAAATTGTCAGTGCTCCTGCACACCTGTCTCCTTTCAAATTTTAACTATGAGAATGTGGATCTACATATGTGATATAAAACAATCAAAACTGCTTTTCATTCCAAACAATGAAAAAGGACATTGAGTAACTCAGTGGAAGCAAGGGAAAACCCTTCAGTGGACAGATGTTACTTATATCAGTCACTGTTTGTTGTTCCTGAATATTAATAGTTCATCCCCTTTCCCATTTCTGTTTTAGCCTATTTTTCTCATATCTATTTCTTCCAAGTAGTGAATCTAGAGTTTAAATCCATCAGGGTAAGTAGAGAGTAGGTGATATGTTGGCTGGTCCCAGAAGTCTACAAGTGGCTATTGGGGATATTTCTTCTCTGAAGCCTGGATCTTGTGTTTGCTTCTTTCCTCTTGGGACAGCCACTCCTGCCCATCTTGTCATGAGTGCACTCGTCCTCACATTCACCTGCAGTCTGATAGCAAAATTAAGATCAAGATCTAATAGAAAGAGGATGGGGTTTGAGTTAGATAGACTTCTGATTCTACCACTTACCATGTAGGATGTCTTGGAAAACTATACCATGTAGGATGTCTTGGAAAACTTAACATCTCTTAGCCTCAGCTTTCATATCTATAAAATGCAGGGAATTCTGCCTCAGAGTAGTTGTAAAAAATAGAAATTATATGTGAAAATAAATGATATATAGTTTAGTACCCAAGATGATGTATAGATAATACATAATTTTCATTGTTATCCCTTCTCCTAGCAGGTAGAATATAATTATCTTTCCCCAATGCATTGTTTTTCTAAATAACGTCTCAACTAGAGTTTTTTCCCCCTAAAAGCTGTAGACTCACAGCACTTGCTTGCCTCATTTCTGCTCACAGGGCATTTGATACCTTAGCTAAAGCACTTAATACCACAGACAGCTCCTCGCCTCCAAGCCTGGCAGACGGGATAGACACCAGTGGAGGAGGAAGCATCCATGTCATCAGCAGAGACCAGTCCACACCTATCATCGAGGTTGAAGGCCCTCTCCTTTCAGACACTCACGTCACATTTAAGGTGAGTGTGTTTAGCTTAACCACGTGCCCCCAGCCCAGTAGGAGATGGGCTGTATACCAAAGATGGTCTTCATTTAAAAATCAAAACTTAGAGTGAGCTCATTTTCATGTTGTGGCATTTGATCAGGATATTATATTCCAGAACCGTCATTCCCATTATGAATCAGTTTCGGTCATCTGCTCACAGTGTCATTTGGCTCTGAAGGTAGCTCTGAAGCAGGCATGGCCTGTCATTGTTCAGAGAGGTTATGTGGTGCTGACCAGTGAGGGCTGATAGCTGACTACTCTGGCTTCCACCTTCCAATGACAACCTGGCTCCAGCACAGGCAGGCCCCTTTTTCTGCTCCAACAACAAGCAGCCAAGACCTCATGCCCTGGAGCCACTGGTCCTGACTTTGCCCTCTAGAGCAGGGGTCCACAGACCAGTACAGTTCTGTAGCCTGTTAGGAACCAGGCTGCATGGCAGGTGAGCAGCAGGGAAGTGAGCGAAGCTTCATCTGTATTTGCAGCCTCTTCTCAGCACTAGCATCACTGCCTGAGCTCCACCTCAGATTATCAGGCATTAGATTCTCATAAGAGCACTGGTCCCTGGTGCCAAAAAGTTGGGGACCACTGCTCTAGAGCCATAGAAAATAGATCTCATATCTTTGAAGAGTGCTGTGAGGTCCTCATAGGTTTAAGTACACTCTGCCCCACTGGCCTCACTTCTGTAGGACATTTCCATCTTCCCTGAAACCATCTTAGTTTCAAGGTCTCCAGACTGAGTCTTCTGTTCCCCCAGCATTATTTACTGGAGAGATCTGGCCAGTCACTTAGGAAAATTGGGTCCCTCCCCATAGTTGCCCCAGAGTGCCAAAGACACAGGTCATCAGTGAGATTCTAGCTTCAAAGGCATTAGAGCTCCTTCTAGACCATGGAGCTCCTGGAGCCCGGGCCAGACATTCTGGTCGTGGGATAGATATCATTCTCCTACCATCTGGGCTTCTGCTCAGCTTTTACTCATTGTTACCTTGAGGTCACCACCTACCAAATGTCTGCTAGTCCTTGAAGTTGAGCCATTTCCTAATTTGATTTGGACTTGAACCTGTGGCTCAAAATAGAATTGCCTTAAAACAAAGAACAGTTTTGTTGTGGCAAGAGTTGAAAAGTATGTGTTTGTATGGGTAAGCTGGGGGCGTTCCCCATCGTTCTACATTTTAAGGGCCATCAGACTGTAGTTCACTGGACAAGAAAGCACACTTCATAGGGTCCACACAGGATCCTCAACATCAGAAACAGTGACTCTGGCTGCCATGATGTTGAAACACAAGAGGGATTCATATTGACAAACCAAACTATCCCATCCCTCTTTTACTTCCTGTGCTGTGTACCTTCTCCAGCTGACAATGCCCAGTCCGATGCCAGAGTACCTCAACGTGCACTATATCTGCGAGTCCGCATCCCGCCTGCTTTTCCTGTCCATGCACTGGGCCAGGTCAATTCCAGCCTTTCAGGCACTTGGGTAAGTAACCTTTTTCTCTGTGTATCCTTGGGCAAGGGCTTTTCCCTCTCTGGGAAGGGCCTAGAAGATCTCTGAGGACCCTTCTCTTTTGTTCCTATGCCCCGATTTTCCTATGACTGTGGTTGCCAAAGATAGTGTTCCTCAAACCTTCACCATGTGCAGAGAATTTAGAGCTAGGAGCCATGGATGGAGTGGAATAGAGGCAAGACTTGTCCTGAAATCTGGAAACAAGTAGGGACATGCTGCATCAGGGGGCATCTGAGATAAGGACAGACTGTTTTGCAGTGTACTGACCATGCCATCCTGAGTGTAAATTACCCAAGGCAGAGCTGAAAGCTGTCTCGGCTGGCCGCCTCCTCCCTGCTACCGTCCCAGCTCCTCCTTTGCAGGCTTTCAAGGCTCTTCTCAAGCACAGGTGTAGGGTATGTCTCTTCCCTTCAGAATCCACACTCAGCTCTTAGTCCTGTAATCACTGCAGCCTCTCAAGATAACCACGCCAGGACAGCTGCAGATTTAGAAGGCTGTAGGAAATGAGAGTTTAGTCATGCCTATTAAGATTTTTCATTACTTAAGTTTAAAGAATCTGAAGAGAATAGTTTACCTTCAGAGGGACTTAGCTAAGAGATTTTTAGACAGTGGTGTTCTTGGAGAATGATCCTAGATACACCATAGACCTTCAACATTCACTTGCCAAATCCACTTGTTTGGGGCGTGTTGGGGCTTGGAGAGGTGCCAGCACACACCCGCACCCACACTCACCTCTGTGTCCCCAGGCAGGACTGCAACACCAGCCTGGTGCGGGCCTGCTGGAACGAACTCTTCACCCTTGGCTTGGCCCAGTGTGCCCAGGTCATGAGTCTCTCTACTATCCTGGCGGCCATTGTCAACCACCTGCAGAACAGCATCCAGGAAGGTAGGGCTGGGGACGTGGGGGAGTATGTCTCCATCTAGACTGCCCCATCACAAATTGGCCAGCCTCAGTGTCCCACAGCATCCATAGATTGAGGGAAGTTTAACTTTTAAGTCATAGGACCTTTACCAATCAGAATATTTAAATTTCCATCTGCCTTCTTTTCATGACGAATACGAAAGAGGGAAATAAAGATAATAGAAAAAAGTTGCCAACTTCCTGATATGTAGGTATTTAGTGGTCTTCAGAATAATCACAGCTTGTTTTCAACTCCATTAACAGGTTACTCTTTCATGTGTAATATCTCATAGATCCTCACAACCCTGTAGAGATTTATTATCTCAGTGTTACATATGGGGAAACTGAGGTCCCACTAAGGTCCCTGGCTTGCCCCAAATGAAACAGCAAGTAGAAGAGCTGGGACACCAACCTGGGTCATGCAGACCCCCTGGTCCAGGACAGTTAACCTCACCCAGCTCCTCATGAATGAACAGGTGACTCTAAGATCTGTGGCAACCATCTAACATTTGGTGGTCAGATCCCAGCATGTCAGGACTAGGAGACAGCCAGTGCAGTCTCTCCACATGCTGCATGTCCACAACACACTGATGACACTGTCTAGACGGGGCATGCCCAGGGTCCAAGACTAACAGTCTACACTTACAGCCGAATTGGAATTCAGCTGCACTTGTAATTGGGCATTCCAGGTGTTTGCTATCTAGCAATGTGAGTTACCTAGTCACACCTTTGTTTTTCTAGTCATTCCTTTGGAATAGTTATAAAAAGGTGATTTTTAAAGCCCTATAACATTTTATTGAATTAAATTAGCTTTGTTCACAAATGAGCTTGAGTTTTCTTTATTTGTAACTGAATGTAGTTAATACTGATACCCGTCAGCAGAGTGTTGTCATGAGGATTAAATCAGATAAAATTTGACAACTAAAAAATGCCAACATTTCAGGTTGACAAATATATTTTAAATGCCTGCAGAGACTTAGAAAACCTAACCATTGATAAGAATGGACGTATATCCATTTGTACCCGTAGGCCAAAGGTGCTGCCGAGGGTAGGGCCAGGGAGAATTGCTGGTCCAGGGGTTCATTGAGGCAGAAGATGTAACGGTGGAATTGGAGTACCTATTGTCACTTCACTTTTAACTGGAAATTGAAGCTCTTGACACTCTTGAGATAACTGGTTTTTCATTAAAACATGAAATTATTCTCTTTCAATCTGTGACCCCTCAAAGAAGTTCGTGTTATTGTACTTATCAGCCTTTCTTAGGGGATCTGTGATGTTGATTTCTAGATAAACTTTCTGGTGACCGGATAAAGCAAGTCATGGAACACATCTGGAAGCTGCAGGAGTTCTGTAACAGTATGGCGAAGCTGGATATAGACGGCTATGAGTATGCATACCTTAAAGCTATAGTTCTCTTTAGCCCCGGTAAGATATGTGGTGGTGACAAATGACAGTTTTCCACCTGTGTCTACTGATGTTTATGAACATGAATGTGTTGTCAAGTCATCAGTGGTGTAGAGAGAGCCCTGCCAGACTGTATGTGACTGCATGTTCTCATAATAGGTGTGCTTTACTAACATAAACATATGCATTCTTTTAAATTCTTGTCTTTACAGTCTCAAAGAAATGACTTCATATACTGGATAGATTTAATCTGTATCCTAATGAAACCATTGCCCAAATGGGGCTGTACATACAAAAGAGTGTTCTACCATCTTGTGTCCTTTTTGTTTGTTTTGATTTGTTTTGTTTTGCTCTTTACCAATTTTCAGGTTATGTTAGCATATATATCCCAGTACAGATTGAAACTGCACAAGTTTACCCATAGTCTCTGGAGGGCAGTAGCAGCAGCTGCTGCAGGGCACACGAAAAGGTGTGGTCACAGCAGATGAAGAAGAGGCAGCAGGACTGTTGGTGGAAAGTAAGAGACGGCTGGGCTGGCCTCACTTCCCCTCGGCTGTTATCTCAGAGCCTCCTGAGAGTGTCACTTGGGTGACTCTTGTCCTGACTGGTGTCCTCAATAGCTGGAGTTGGACACAGCTTAACCTTTCCCTTCCCCCCCAGCCCTCTACTCACAAACAAAATAGCTAATAAAAATGGGAGAAATTATGCAATTAAATATCTAAAAAGTGAATTTTTAATTACATGGGCTAGTTTTTAAATCGATGTGTTTTCTAGAATAGTAGGAAATAGTAGGAAACCAAATGTCCAGAACCTGCAGGTGGGGCTGCTGAGGCTAGAATGACCACTCAGAGCCCAGCCCCCAGTCAGGCCTTGGCCCAGTACAGAGGAAAATCCGGTGTTCTAACAATAATATCCAGACCCAATATCAGCCTCCAGAGTTCAGTCTGTTGTACTTGAGAATTTGTCAGAAGTTTGATTAAAAATAAGTACTAAGAAGTCTGTAAAGGAGGCTTTCTGAATACACAGGGCAATTTGGGGGCACTTTTCTCTTTTCAGATCATCCAGGTTTGACCAGCACAAGCCAGATTGAAAAATTCCAAGAAAAGGCACAGATGGAGTTGCAAGACTATGTTCAGAAAACCTACTCAGAAGACACCTACCGGTGAGGCGCACAGGCACACACACACTTGCTCAGGGCAGGGAGGAGCACGGCTGGATCTGTAGTTGCAAATATAAATTACATTAGCCTTTCCATTTCTAGCAGCCTAGTAGAGCCTCCATTTGATCACATTTTAATTCTAGCATTTTATAACAGGCGGTAATGGAGTATGGAAAGCGCTAGGCAGGGAGGGTCAGGAATGCTAGGCTATCCCAGTGTTGCTGAGTAACTGGGCAGGACCTTGGGTTGATCTCTTCTGGAGCTAACATTGTGCCTGAGGCATGAGCCCTCATAGAGGCCTTCCTTACCCAGAACAGTTGGAAGCTCTGCCCCTCTGATCCGCATCCATTCACTAGGCAGTGCTAGAGTACTTTACAGAAAAGTTTTCATTGACAGAAACTAAACCTGACCCCTATAAAGGAGTAAGTGGGTTGTATAAATAGTAATTTTATCTTCAGAAAAACTGATTTTTTAAAGTTTCTTTATTTGGATAAAAATTAATTTGTATTATTTGTAATGGTTGGGCAGCAAATATGTAAATGAGCCCTTCTCATGCAAATTTGAACAGGAAAGTTGTTTTGAACTAGGGAAGAATGCTTGGCATGTTTTCCAGCTGAGGACTGCTTGCAACCCACTGGAGCCTATGTGAATTTATGGGGCTCCTTCAAGCAAATTATTTAATATTTCCCTCCCCACCCTGTCTTCTCAAAATAAATGCTGAAGCAAAAATTGACCAGGATGATGCATGGCCCCACCTTCCCCAACTTGCATCTCCTGTGCAGACCTCAGTTCACAGATGTCCTGTGGAATGGAACTGCCCCCAGCCCGAGGAGGACCATTTCTCTGGTGTGACTGGGGGACCTGTGGCTGGCCCTGCTGGCAGAGAGCCTACCTCTGCTTTAGGCACACCTTTATGGTGCACAAGTACCTTTTGCCAAAGCGGGATCTATTTTCTATTGGAATCACTGAAGACCTCACTGTGAATCTGTAATATCTTCAGCCTCAATACATAGAGAATGGAATTGTTAAGTAATGCACCCACACTTAGAACTCATACATCCAGCCAGTCGCAAGCTGTCCTCTGAGGAAACCACGGGCCTATTACCACACAGTGTCTGCAGCCAGAGAGCTGAAAATGCCCCTCTGGGGGCTGCTGGCAGAGCCATAGCACACTAGAATCACCTGACAATAGCAACTCTGTGGTCTTTGAAAGTAGATGTTCTGAAAAAATCCTGAGTCACTCCTTGTCAAGGACCCCAGGGGAGAGGGTGGCAAGCCAGATGATTTGGGACCAAAAATGAGATAAAGAAGGCTTTCTTGTAGGATTTAGAAACTCACTCAACACTGTTCCCCAAAAATAGCCCTAGAATGGTTTATCTCCTGCTTATACTCATTCAGTTTTTCCCTCTGTACGCTTTTTCTCATACTTTTTGTTCCTCCTGAAATACCCTCCCATTCCTCCCCATTCTTTTACATCTCTGCTGATAGACATTTTAGACTGCCTCTAAGGCCCAGCTGAGATGTGCCATGTTCCAGGAGGTCCCCCTTGATTTGCCCTTGCAGACTTCCTAACACCTTGCAGCCAGTCAACCCTTCCAGGTCTGTGGTGGAGTCCCCTTACACCTTTGTGCACCCTGCAAGACTCACAGTTGGCTGGGTACATGGATGATGGTGCTGGAATGCTGTTTGCATAATATGAATATTATTTTTAAATTTGTTTCCCCTCTTTAATTCCCCCCACACACACTTCCAACCCTGACCTACGGATGTTGCTGTCTCCCCTTATGAACTGGATTTCTGAAGGTGGGGTGTCTCCTCCCACATGCTCTCAGCATGCACCTGGGGCCTGGCACTCCCATAATTTCTTTTTTTAAAAGTAACTTACAGTGTTCACTGTAGAAAAAAAATTAGAACTTTAGTAAAGCAAAGAAATTTGTAACTGTAAATACCACTGTTTAGAGATATCTGTTAATGTTTTATGTATTTAACTTCCAGAAATTTTTTATGTATGTGTAATTGGAATCACGGTAACAAAGTAAGGTAACCTTTTTCTCATTTAATACGCAATGAGCATACCTATTCTTCATCATTATATGTTGCTAAGGAGATGATATAATTTAACATTTCCTACTGATAAGAATGTAGATTGTTTCCAGGTTGGGCTAGCACTGCAGTGTGCTTGCATACATCATTGTGCACTGACTTTGGAATGGCCTGTCACACAGGGTGCTTCAGATAGTGTCCCATAACCCTCCAGACATGGTCATAGTGTGCCTTTCCACCCAGGGTTTCTTCAAAACAAAAATTCTATGGTTTTATTTTAAATTATAACGCTAAATGAACACTGGAAGTTAGGGCAATACGTAAAAAATTTTAATATGTAAAGTCACTCCAAATCCCAATACCGAGAGGCCAACCATTAACATTCTGGTACACATCCTCCTGAATACTGTATTTACACATGTGCACACAAATAAATATACACGAGTGCAGTTATGCAGTACTTAGTGCTTCACAACCTCCTTTCGAGTTTTTATTCAGCTACATGTCATGGACTTCTTCCCTATCTTTGAATATGGATCTTTATTCTTTTTACTGATTCGTAGTGATCCGTTATATGGAGACGCCATATTTCTTTCAACCTATCCCCCATTGATAGATTTCCTGTTTTGCTTTTTGGTGGAGGTAGACACTGTTATAAATAATAAAGAGAGCATGTTCATACATACATCTTGGCACGTACTTGTTTGACATTTTTTCTCATGATAAATTCCTACAAGAGGAACTGCTAAAAACAGAAAAACAAGACATAGATAGTGGATGGATCTATTTGGTTCCATTCTGAGCAGTACAGACAGGACCTGTCGGAGCCTATCGAGGGCAAAGTCTGAAGGGCAGTGAACCCTCCTTTCTCTCATGACTCTCTTTCTTACAGATTGGCCCGGATTCTCGTCCGCCTGCCTGCACTCAGGCTGATGAGCTCCAACATAACAGAAGAACTTTTTTTTACTGGTCTCATTGGCAACGTTTCAATAGACAGCATAATCCCTTACATTCTCAAGATGGAGACAGCAGAGTACAATGGCCAGATCACTGGAGCCAGTCTATAGTGCATACCACACACCTACTGAGGAGCAAAAGGATCCTCCCAGGACAGCTCAGAGACAAAGAAAATGAAGTAGTGGTATTTTGGTATGTGCAAATATTTCCAGTATGTTAGCCATTTCCTACCTGGTTTCTTCTTATCTGTTAATCCCAGACAATAGCAACTAAAAGACTAGTAGGATCCTTTCCTGCCATAAGAAATGTTTTAATGCCTTTTGATGAAGCAGCAGATTTTGGAACAATCTTTTAACTCAATTTATATTTAGAAATTCTCAAAGGGCAAAAAACAAAGTTTTATAATGTCAGAGACTAGTATTAAAGAAAACTAAAAGAACCTAAGAGAACAGTATGTGTGTATATATATTAAAAATGTCCTTGGAATTAATAGCTACTAATTACCAGGGTAATAATATTAGCACTTTCTAAGCACTTCTTACTGCTGCGTAATGTTAGCAACATCTTGCCTATGGGCAGGGCAAATGGAAAACTGTATGTCTTTTGCCTAAATGCTAATGATTTCTGTGAAAACGCAATAGGGTACAGGAGACAATCATTTACATTTAAGAAAAGAAGGCATCATTCCTAATTGTATGCACACTTGGTGGTATTGAACTAAAGTCCTGTGAGCGGATGAAAATACGGCTTATCTGTATCATGCAGTAAGTGGGAGTATACTAGCATAGCCAGTGGTGACCCAAACCAGAAGCTTCCTCAGAGCTGATGCTTGTCAGGTTCCCTGACCTCTGGTCCTGGTCTGTGACAGGCATCTGCAGGCTCCTCCAAACCTGGGGCATCTTCTGATGACTGGTTCTCAGAATTGGATTGCAACCAGTCAGATATTAACTGCCAATTCCTGCAGCAATTGACGTCCCCAAATCACCTCCGCCACTACGGCAGATGGAGCCTTCTGACCAAAAGGTGCAAGGTGGGCATTTTGAACCCTTGACAGTATTTCCTGAGTACAATCTGGGGTGGCTACACAGTGCTCATAGAGAGGAGTGTGGCCTCCTTGGAGTGTGAAGGTTCCCCTCTTAAGAGTTTCCAGTCCAAATGCCCATTAAGAAGGGCCTGTGTTCCTGCAGTTCAGTACAGCTATGGGGGTGGGGTGGGGGTATGTGTGCAGGATCTTGCTGCCTGGCCAGGGCAATGGTGGTGCAGATGAATGGGAAGGTTCTCTGTTGACCTTAAATTATCAGGGTTTTCAGAATGTCTCCTTATTCAGCATCTCCGTTGGTACTGGCACACCGTGCACTTTTATTCCCCCAGGTGTGTGCCAGCAAACCAACCCTGGAGCATTCTAGATAATGGATGCAGAAGCAGACTGCCAGCTCCTTAAAAAAGCAACCCTTAATTCCCAAAGTTATCTTCTTTCTCATAAGTTGTAGTGACCATCATTTACAAGAACAGAATGTAGTTATAAGGAAGTTCTATCTAGAGAAGAGCACCCATAAATCCCCATGGATGTGAGTAAGAGCAAGCATTTCCTGTTGGGGAAAAGTGGCGTGTCCAAGATGAGGTCAGGTACTTTGCATTTTCTTTTGTATATCCCAGAATAAGAGAAAATGTAAGGTTAAATCTGCATCTCTTAAACCTTTTGATCAGGTGATATCCAAAAAGATGCCAGTGCACTCCCTGTCTCCCAGGCACTCCCGGGTTTGGCTTGGGCCCTTGGTCAAGGTGAGCACCTCACAAGTGGTGCGTGGGTACTGGGCACGCCAGCCACAGGCTTACAGCAAAGCAGGGTGGGATGCTTTATTCTGAAGTGTTGAAGTAGTTTTTGAAAGTCCCTAGTGGGAATTAAATGGGGACAGTCTCTCCAGTTTCCGAATTCTAGTTCGGATTTGGTTTTATCATTTATAGTTAATGCTTTGGAAGCAGATTTTGGAGAAAGGGTGCCCATTATAAAATGATGGAAAGGATTTAATTTTGCTAGCTTAAATTTTTGGTTTTCTAACTTTGAAGTGATTTAAAAACTGGCCAAGACAATGGAGTTAGGGCAGGTCTGTATCATCTCTGCCTGTGAAGGATTTTAGCAGAGGGCATTTTAAAGAATGTTCATGCATCTTACACAGTGAATTGCCTATTTTACTCCTTGATTTTTGAATGTAAGCATGTCTGTTGATCACGGAGTAGCTCCCTGGAAATACGTGTTGTGTCACATCTTTCATATTCCGAGTTCTTGGTGTTGGTCAAAAGGCCCACAACCGGCCAGCTCCCTTATTCCCAGGGGCAAGCCCTGGGACTCCTGTTGTCTATGGGGCTTTTAGACTTGGGTTGCCTTACGGTACTGAGCAGCTTAGCCAAGATCTAGACTGCGGTCCTGACAAAGCCACTGCTCTTTTCCAGTGGTATCTTACGTAATGTTGGAGAGTTACATGTTGTTGAAATTTGTGGAGTTCATTACATATAAATCATAAAACAGGACAGGAAGAGACTTAGAAAAAGACCAAATTTCTCAAGCAAATATTTTCCAAGTTATTCCTGGAAAGTATTTTTAAGGCAGAATGTTACTGCCCTTCTAATTTGAGATCTGTGTGTGTGTTTATGGGAGGGAGGGGGGTACATTATTTATTGTGTAACCTCTGCCACAAGGCCGTGGTTGGGGTTCTTTTGTTGTTTGGGGTTTTATATTTAATTTCAGGTGTAGACACTTGTAAGATGTGTTATGTAATTGCCCTCAAGAGGGATTGTTTTCTAGCTTGTCAGCGTCAGTATTAAATGTGGACTCTGTTCTGAGGCGGTTGCCACCAGTCATGGCGATAGCAATGGACGCATCTACTCTGAGCTCCCTGATATGGCAGCAACATACTCACTAGAGCTTACTTAGCTGTTTTGCTTGTTTTGGGGACAGCCATGGCAGGGAGCCAAGAATGAGAAGAGCTCCAGCTGTATCTAGTGCTTTTATTCTGGGAAAACCACATCCTAATCCTTTGGGGGAGTTTCCAGCAGAGCAGTCTCACTCCCTGCCTGCCCTCTGCCTGACAAGCAGCCCTTGGCTGTGGATCCAAGTTCTAGGACCTGGTTAGAGTCCAGAAGCTTGTGGCCTCCTTTCCAGTGGAATGACCTTATGTGCAGTGGGGCTATAGGTGACATTTCAATTCTGAGCCCAGGTCACAAAAAGTGCCATCATCTGACATTTTCCTTTATCTTGGGAGGTCAGTGCTCTTTCGATCCTAGAACGGTCTGAGCAGGCAGGGCAGACGCCCCCATACTACTTTCTCACTTCCATTCCCTAGATTGTATGGCTCTTTGAAAATGTCTTAACTTCGATGTGAATTTGTAATCAAGACAGTAGACTTGGGTCTCTTGTACAAAGGCTTTGGACCTCCCGTGTGCCTTCCACCACCATGCACATCTGCGTGTCCAGCCCTGAGCTCCCTTCAGCGCATTGTGTACAGATTTATAGGCTTGTATGACTGAATGAATGTACATGTGTTTATATCTTCTATATATGTACAGTGTATATAGTGTGTGTATGTGTACATAGATGTATATTATGTATACAGACATGTAGCCACGTATCCAAACTTTTATGTTTTAAAGAGACTCTATGATAGAGTTGCTAAAGTAAATTGATGTGGGTGTTCCAAGGTCCTGCAGCAGGATGGATTTGCTGAGATTTTCTTAACTCCATTTTCCTTTGGGTGAGCCTGGCTGGGAAAGGCCATGAAGTCAGAATCTTCACTCTGTACCAGGGAAAGGTCCTGACAGGATGACATTGCTATGTATTCTCTAGGTTCAGACAAGGGCTATGAAGCTAGAGGACGGTTTATCCTAATGTCCAAAAACTAGCTGGAGATCTTTAACCTGGTGGTCACAAACCCGTTTAAGACCTAACTGGAAGGAACTTAGTAGTTCCCAGATACTCTCATTCTGTCATGTGGTCAGTTTCAGAACCATCTGTGTCATAGGGCTTGGTAGCAATTTCCCCACTTGCTCTGTACTCAACAGACAGTGGGCACTCCCCTGTGACTAAACAAATTCCCATCTAATGCCAGCTGAAAAAAAAAAACCTACCAAGTATTCTGTAAAAGTATGTATGAATGTTGATGGCTAGCTTTATGGCATATAAGTTACAAATCTTAAAAGTCTCTACAGCATATAAATGAAACCACCAATTTTTCTGTAAATTATGATTTTAAAATTTCAGATGGAAACTGTATTTTAATATGGATATATGTATGCCCTTAAAGCTACAGATGCCAAATTTTCTCATCCAGCTCTATTCAGATGAATTTTCCCCCTTAATCAGGCTTTAAACTGAGACAGGCACTCGAGAGCCAGGGCCCAGCCCAGCAGTAGTTGCTTGTGGACCTGGTAAGCACAGGGGTCCTGACTGGCAGGAAGGTTAAAAGCTGGCCTGCTGAAAGAAATCACTAAGTAACTGCAAAAACTCTCACATAATCCAAATTTTTTTTTTTAATAAGCTTTTGAAATGTTTGAAAACATTCATGGAGACCATAGCACTCAGTGCCTTTTGTGAGACTGGGCCATTCAGCCTTCAGCTTCCCCAAATGAGATTGATATAAAGCAGCTCCTGCTGCTTCACTGGCTTCCCAGCAATGATTGTCACCTTTCCCATGTCCTTGCCTGTTGCGACAATCACACTATCGAAGGTGGCTTTCCAGTTAAAATAATAAAAGTGGAAGCTGGGCAGTCTCTAAATGGATCTTTAAAATAAAAATTTTCCTTTAGGTCTATGTATCTTAACAGCAACCTCCAAATAATTAAACTGAGCTTAAAAAAAAGTACCGGGATGGGGAATGTCCGAGCTATTTTTAATGCCCAATCATACTTTCAATTAAGAAGCATATAATTGTGGTGTCTCAATATTTATACATACAATATAGAAAAAAGTGCTGAAAGAAAATGCTCAGCAACATTTATTCAGCTGACAGACTGATAAAGCTTAATATTTGGATAACTTGTGGAAGTAGACTTTACATGAAAAACGGGCTTTTCTTTAAGAGAGTATAACTGTCATTTTGACGACCAGAGCATTGATGGACTCAAATGCTGCTGTCACATACAACTCAAGTGCTGGAATATTTTTCTACAGTCTCTGTTCTCCCAATTATCTTGTAAACCAGTGTTCAACTAGTTTTATAACTGAAAAGCTGCACCTTTTTCATAGTACAAACCATAGTTTTTACCTGTAGTTTGGACCTGTTTAAATGTAGCTGCATAACCAGGCCTTTTAAACGACATCTGTTAAAGGAAAATTTGGGTGTTAGATTTTCTTGGGACCGTTTCTGTAACCTCTGCCCTTCCCAATATAGGAAATATTGTTTATGCCATTACCTTTTAATTCCAGGTTTAAAACTTGTTGAAAGCTATAGCTTGAAATCAGCTTTGTTTATGTGATGGCATTTAAAAACTAGCATGTTCTTTTTAAACTGAATTTTATATCTAATCAATGTCTTCAGTCTTGAAGAAGAATTTGCATTGTTGTGTTTGTATATAGAGTATTGCAGTGCATGAATTAGCTTTATGCATTTTATTAAATGCTATTTCAATGTGGCATTATTGTTGTGGCTTAATACTACTACCTAAATGAGGTTTATACTATTAAAAGTGAATTAAAGACTAAATGTGCATCCTGCTCATCATTTCTCATAATAGTAATAATAATGCCTGACCCTCCAAGCATTCTCACCTGAACCCCAAGTAGGTGGTGAGGAAGCAACTGGTAGTCAGAACCCTGTAGCTCTTACCTCACCTTAGCCTTGGCCAAAAGTGACTTAGCCCTGTCTACTTGATGGCCCACTGGACTTAGGTTTCTGGAGCAGAGCAGGCCTTGAGCTGCCATTACACACACCTCAAATCAGCAGACTCGTGATGTGGATATTTGCTATCCAGGGTAAAAATGTATTCGTAAAGTTTCAGAAATCATCTGACCTCTCATTTTACAGGTTGGAATTCTGGCGTCCAAAGTCAGATTCTGGGCAGAACCCACTGGCAGCCAACTAGGTTTAAATGGCTCTGCCAGGTAAGGTAGTACTAGTACTCAAAATGAAAACTGGTCACTTGAGCAGAACAAGGTCAAAAACCATTTAGGCAAACATTGCTTATGCAAATAAAATTAAGAAACAGTATGTCAATCATAAATCTTCATAGCAATCTTCTCTAAGCTCTCATTTCTGTAAATTTTAAACCCATCCTTTATCATTATTAAAGAAATGGAAGGCAAAGGTTGAGATAATGCCCCTTAATGATATTTATTTCCGTAAATCACTATCTGCTGTCTGTGAGGAAACAGCCCGTGCAAATATTAACAGCAGCACTGACTCATCAGGTACTGGACATTTGCTAAAGAGGGGTCACTAGCTTGGTTCAGGGCCATCCTTCTGGTAAGCAACCTTTCTGGGCCCTGTGCTGTGGGCCATGGAGGAAGGAATAATTTCATGAGGCTTTATGTCACCAGCTGTGACATAAAAAGGCCTGAAAAGGCCTGGCAGCCCAGCAGAAAGCCACGTCAGCTGGTGTGAAGGCCCTGGCTACAACCAGCACAGTGGGGTTGTTAGAAACATTGCAGGTACTGAAACCAGCACCTACAGGAGGGATCAGAATGGAGGATAGAGTTTTCTAGCCACCCTCCAAATGGTGATGGGAGAAAAGGCACTAAAGTGTTGAATTTCAATTAAACACAACTGAAGTAATCTTGCCTCTTCCATATCAGACCCACATACCCACCTTCCTCCCCCAGTGCCCCCAAAGCTATCACCCTGAACACAGGTCTGGTACAGAATCACAGTACACCATAACTTGGACATCAAATGTAAAAGGAGACAAATTTCTCTCAATTTGAGATAATCTGCAGCATTCATATAAATACATTCTAGTTTCATCATCTATAGCTAACTACCTCATGTGGCAGGGAGTGCCTTTATTTTCATTTTACAGATAGCTAGGCCTCAGCTAAGGCCAGGAACTCAGACCTCGAATCTAAGGGCAAGGTCTCCTGGTCTGTAGGCCAGCTGGTCCTTCACTTTTGACCAAATAAAACTTTAAAGTGACCCTAGCGGGCTTTGGTGTCTCCTAAGGGCTAAAACCAGCACAACTGAAGTGGCAGTATCAATATCTTAGGAGAAAAGAACTACTAGGCAGACCCTCAGTAACACCGCACACCCTCTTCCAAACCTTAGTAAGCGAGAACTGAATAAGAGGGCAAGCTGAGCAGCAGCCTCTTAACACCAGCCTCCCAGGGCAGAGCCCAAAAGTGCTGAGCAGGCAGTGCCTTCTCCTTTCCTCCTTCATAGCCTGTAAACCTGCTTGCTAAGGGGCATACGGCTGGGGCCACAGGGGCTGGCACTGGCTCACTCATTAGTGGGCGCATTCCTAAGGGAGGCTGGTCTGTCTGCAGCCACAGGGGCCTCCTGCATCTGGCACGCCCACAGCCAGACCCCTCAGAAGGAAAGGGTCAGCTGGCTTTAAAAAGTGAGCATTCCACAAAGGCTTGCCCTGGGATTCTGTAAAAATACCCAAAGAGCCTGAATGGAGTGGACATTCACACTGCCAGCCCAAGATGGCTCCAGGCACAGCAGCTTATAATTCTCAAGAGTAGGGACTGGAACAGAAGTCAGTAGAGAACAGGGAGGAAAAGGCCAGAGGACAGAGTCAGGAATGTCAGCCTGTGGCCGTACACCTTCCTCATTCCAAAGCTCTGTCCCCACGTAGGCCTTCTTCCTTGTGCAAATCAGACTGGATAACACACCATGTTGATGGAGTAATTAAGGAGCATTTTATTTTCAAAGTCTCTGGGACAGAACGGGAGGCTTCCCTGTGATCAAGGTAACCCCAGCCCACAGGCCTGGGTCTTAGTCCTGGGCACTGGCTTTCAGAGTTGCTTTGTACCTCCCTGTCATCTCCTTGGGTAACGGCACCAGAGCTGGACAGGGCACCTGCCCTTCCACTTCACAGATACACTCCCGCAGGCAGTACTTTCGGGGTCCAAAGTTAGCCGGGTGAAAAAGCTGTTCTTTCTCCTGCTCCTCTTTCTTGAGGGTTTCCCTGCCAAAAGCACAGACAGCAACATTGCTCTGAGCCTCTGGGAAGCAAAGGATTTCTCAGAGTGAATCCCATCATCGGCCAGGGAGACCTGGATTTCCTGTGCCTCCTAAATTGCTCCTCACTCCCAAAACCTATCTGTCCCCTCCCCACAGGCTTCCCAGGGAGGGAGGATGGACGGCAGGAAGGCTTCAGCATGTGAACTGGGTGAGACCCCAGGGGAGGGGATCACTTGGGAAGCATACTCATCCCAGGCATGCTCAGCCTTCACAGCCAAGGGGCCAGCTCTGACTCGTCGGACAATCAGGATTAAAGGGGCCTGGAAATGCCTTTGTGCTTTCTCACAGACAGACATCCTTGGCTTCCCTCCCTCCTTTCCTCTATGAAAAGAAAAAAGACACAGTGGAACATATATATATATGCCTTACTGTTAAATTGTACGCCTGAACTTACTGGATTTCGTTAACCAATGTCACCATAAATAATAATAATAATAATGATAATAAAGTTCAAAGGTAAAAAAAAAGGAAGAGAAAAGAGACCTTTCACAGCAGGCCCCGGGGCTGGGCACCCACTAGCTCCAAGCTGAGATTCCCAAGGAGGGACATGTTTCTGGCCACACACGGAAAGCTTTTCAGCTCCATCTCAGCTTCCCACTGACCCCAGGAGGGAAGAACACACCTTTATCCCCACTTCACAGCAGGAGTTACAGCTCAAGGCTCAGTGACTTACGGTCACACATCTAGTGAGCAGCAAAGCCAGATGAAACAAACTGTCCAGCCCATGCTCTCTGGTGAGTGTCTAGCTCACTGTCGGAGAGCCTGCCTTCTTGACACCCCTTCCTTCTCTCTCAAACTCTCTGGGCTAAGACGTTTGCTCCCCTCCAGGTCAACACCAGCAACTCACTCGTTCTTCCCCAGGATTTTTTTGATGTGCTCCATGATCTCCTTATTGCTCTTGGTCTCCACATCCACGAGGACCTGCTCACCAGAATCTGGAAACAGGAAGTAAAGATGGGGAAGAAAACCTGAGAACTTGGCAGATGCCCCTCAGCCTCAAATGTGGTGATTTGGGATTTGCTTTTAGCAGAGAAATATTCTAATAGAGTAAATATATTTGTTTTCATAACACGTAATGCTACTCTTTTCCATATTTCTTTAGACGTGAGCAGCCAAATTTCAGGCATGTACTATTTTAATAGAAATTCCCTGTTTACAGATAGATTCAATATCGTTAACATGACAATCCTCCCCAGACTGGTTTATAGGTTCAGTGCAACCCCTATCAAAATCCCAGCAGGTATGTGTATAGAAACTGACAAGTTGAACCTAAAATTCATACGAAGGACCCAAAATAGTCATCATTTTGAAAGAGCTAAAACTTTTATAAAAGTTTTTGAATAGAAAATCTTTATAACTTTACCTAAGCAAAGATTTTTAGATATGATATAAAAAACACCCAGAGAGAGAAAAATAACTCAAAATTAAAAACTTTTGTGCTTCAAAAGGCATCGTAAGCCATAGACTGGGAGATAATATTCACAATGCATAAATCTGATAAAGGACTTGTATCTCAATTATATAAAGAACTCTCACAACTCAATGAGACAATCCAACTAAAACATAAGCAAATATCTGAATAAACATTTAACAACAAAAAGCTAATAATCACATGAAAAGATATGTAATATCTTAGTCATTAGGAAAATGAGAAAATTAAAACCACAATGAGATATTAGACTGGCTAAAAATTTTTAAATGGACAATACCAAGTGCTGATACAGAGTAACTGGAACTTTCCTACATTACTGGTAAAAACAAAATAGTACAGCCAAGTTAGCCAGTGAAATTAAGACAAAAAAAGAAAAAATGATTGGAAAAGAAAAAGTAAAACTATTTACAGATGGCATGACTGTGTATGTAGAAAATACTAAGGAATTTTTAAAAAAACTACAAGATGTAAGTGAATTTACAACAGGACTGCAACACACACAACCATTTACAAAAATTAACTGTACTTCTACAAAATTGTGTGATGCTAACCAAAAACCTGAAATATGAAATATTTTAAAACACCATTTACAACAGTTATAAAGCATTCGATATTTTAAAAAGTCTCTTCTCAAAATGATCTATAATGTAATTCCGATCAAAATCCCAGCTAGCTTTTTTCTAGAAACTGGCAACCAAATTTTAAAGTCTCTAGAAATGCAAAGAACCTAGACTAGCCAAAGTAACTTTGGGGAAAAAAGTTGGATTTATGCTACCTGATCTTAACACTTATAAAGCCACACAAACCAAGACAGTGTATTAGAATAAGAACAGACAGATCCGTGAGAGAGGATGAAGAGTTCAGAAATATATGGCCAGGTGATTTTTTTGTATGTGGTAAGTTACGGGACATAAATTTTACCATTTTAAAGTGTATAATTCAGTGGGTTTTGGTACATTCACATGTTGTACAACTGTCACTATTATCTAGTTCCAGAACTTTCTCATCACCCCAAACAGAAACCTTTTACCAATTAAGCAGTCACTTCCTATTCCCCACACTGCCCCATACCCAGACCCTGGTCGTCACTGTCTGTCTCTATGGACTTGCCTGTTCTGGACATTACATATAAATGGAATCAAACACTCCATGGCCTTTTGTCTGTCTTCTTTCACTTAGCATAATATTTTCAAGGTTCAACTGTGTTGTAGCATGTGTCAGTACTTCACACCTTTTCATGGCTGACTATATGGATATACAAGCATTTTGTTTTTCTAATGATGGATTGATTTCTGACAAAGATGCCAACAAAATTCAATAAGGATAGTTTTTCAACAAATGGTGCTATAATAACTGAATATCCTGAGTCGGGAAAAAAATAAAGTGAACCTCAATCTCAATCTCTACCCTCACTTAATATAAAGAAAATAACTCAAACTAGAGGACAGACCTAAATGTAAAATCTAAAACTACAAACCTAAAGGAAACGGCAAAAATCTTTGCGACCCAGGGGTAGGCAGATTTCTTGGATAGGATACAAAAAGAATTAAACATAAAACAACTGATAAGCTGAAGTTTATCAAAACGAAAACTTCTGCCCTTCAAAAGACCTTTAAGGAAAAGCTACAGACAAAATATTCACAAGACATATCCGACAGGCATTGCATCCTGTCAGATATATGTACAGAATATAAAAGAACTTGTTAGAAAACAAAACAGCTCAATTGTTTTTTAACGGACAAAAGATACAAGTAGACTCTACAAGAGAAATATATGAATAGCCAATAAGCACATGAAAAGTTATGAGAAATGCAAATTACAACTTCTATAAGATATATACACCCACAGGAAGGGATAAAAATTAAGACAATAAAGGCCCCTAAAGATGTCCCTGTGCTAATCCCCCAGAACGTGTATATCACCTTAAGTGCCCAAAGAGACTCTTCCAGATGTGGTTAAAGACCTGGAGATGGGAGACTGTCCTAGATAACCTGGTAGGCCCGATTTAATCACACGGTCCTTGAAATTGGAAAAGCTCTCTGGGACCTGTGACTACGGAAGAATGGCCAGAAATACAACATTGCTGGCCTTGAAGACTGAGAAAAGGGCCACAAGCCAAAGAAAGTGGGTGACCTCTAAGGAGCAGGAAGTCGTGGAAGAAGATTTATCCCTTGAGCCTCCAGAAAGGAAGGCTCGGCTGACACCTTGATTTTAGTCTATGTTGGACTTTTAACCTACAGAACTGTAAGAAATTTGTGTTGTTTTAAACCACCAAGTGTGTGGTAATTTGTTACAGCAGCCACAGGAAAGTAATGCAACTACCACCACCAGTTTGGGTAGGATGTGGATCTACCAGGACCCTCTCACTCAGCTGCCTGGAGGGTGAGATGGCACAATCATTTTGGAAATCTGTTCGGCAGTTCCTGAGAACACTACATATCTATTCTGTGACCCAGCAATCCCGTCCTGAGGTGTAGGCCCAGGAGAACTGAGCACCCATGTCTACGAAGATGACTTGTGCCAAGAAGGTACTGATAAGCACCTTAGCAGCCAAAAACTAGAAACAACCCTTTGCAGCCAGGGAGGCCCCTCCAATCAAACCTCCCTTCAGGCAAGCCCTCCTGCAAGTCAAGGGCCCAGCTGTTGTGTTGGGGATCCACCAGAGCAGCACCAGAGCCGAGCCCAGGCTCTCCCTGGCCTAGGTCTAGGATCTGCCCGTTTCTGCCCAGTGCAGAGCTACAACTTCCCACTGGACTGGCCCAGACTTGCCAAGAGCTGCACCACCATCTGAGGCTCCTCCCGTCCAGCTCTCCTTCTCCCCCTCCTCTCAGAGATGTCAGACCTGCTTTGTCATCTGAAGACGTTCCCTGCCTACTCCTCTACCATCTCCCCTTTATCTCCAATAAATCTCATACTTTTAACTGTCTTGTCATTTAACAAAAACCGAGATGCTCATCAACAGGTGATCGGATAAACTGTGGTATATATTCCCATGATGGAATACTACTTAGCAATAAAAATGAATAAGCTACTTATACACATAATGTGGATGAATCTCAAAACCATGAGTGAAAGCCAGACCCACAAAATATATATATATACTGTGAGATTCTATTTATATGAAGTTCTGAAACAAAATTAATCTATGGTGAAAGAAATAGCAGTGGTTGCCTCTGGTGGAAATTAACCAGAAAGTAGCACTAGAGAACTTTCTGGAGTAACAGAAATGTTCTTCATCTTCACTGGGAAAGTGGTGACACAGGTACATAAATGTCAGAACTCACTGATCTATGCGCATTAGTCCTGTGCATTTATTATAGGTAAATTATGCCTCAAGAGTTAATTTTTTAAAATGCAAACACAAAATACATATACAAAATTGCCATATCACCATTTTCTTCACTCGCCCCTTATCTTGCTCTATTTATTTTTTACAACACTTATCTTTTAATATACTATCTTGTGAAGTTTCTTGTTCGTTCTGGCTCCTCCTGGTAGGGTATCATCTCTACAAGGGCAGAGATCTTTGTATGGCTCCCTGACACCCCAAGCACCTAGAGCAGGATCTAAGTCCTAGCAGACTTTCGTTATATATTTGCTGAATGAGCTGGCCATTTCTGGCCAGAAATAAAATGAAAGAACATCATCTTTTTGGATACTGAAACATTTCCTAATGTATACATCATTTGATTCTCAACTGTGTAAGGTTGATGTTTTGCCTTTAGTTGAGAAATAAAGCAATGGGACTGTTACTCACTCAGGGTCAAAAGTTGAGCCAAAACATCTGATCTTCTGACTTCTGGGCACTGAGCCCAATTTAACTGAATAAATGTTCACTTGGTCCAGAGAGGACACACACGGACATACACTTTTCAAGAGAATGTGGCCAGCACTAAGAGGGGCTTTGGGGATGGGGAAAGGCCAATCTAAGGGTATAGGGAAGGTTTCCTGGGAGAAGTGGTGCCCAAGCTGAGTCTTGAAGGATTTTAAAAAGATAATAATAAGCAAAGAAAATAGAAGTAGAATTTTGAAGAGGAACTGACATGAGTAAAGGCATCAAAGCAAGGTATGGCGAGGGAACTTGGAAAAATTAGCCTGTGTGGTGTAAGACATGTAAGAGATGTGGGGGCAACTGGAGACAAGAAGAGTCTAGATCTCAATGGCCACTGTGTGCCACGGTATGGGAAGCCGAGGTGATGGCAGCAACATTAGTTTACAGCAGTCTGTACCTCAGATCACTTGACTGCTATAGTAGGAGGAACAGATGGAAGAAAAAACAGTCCTGGACCACAGCAGAGAGGCCCCCACACTCACCTAAATAGAATCGAAGGAAGGGTGATGGTGTCATGTTCTTAAACATCATGATCTGCACCCAAGGGTTTTTGTACTGGATCTGAGGTATGTTGAAAAACACAAATTTCCTGCAAAAGAGAAGAAATTAAACCCATGAAACAATAGTTTTTAACCTAAAATTCTGCATACCTGTGTACTTTTCTAGGAAAAAGGTTCAGAACTTTCATCAGATTCAGGAACAGAAACGTAAGTGCCCCTCAAAAGATGACTGATTAAATAAATTACAATAGGACCGTATATCTGGATCCCTCTCCACCCATTCTCCATCCTGAATGGCTAACCTATGTGGACTTTGGAAATGGGCTTCCTTGCCCTCCAGATTGTGTTGCATATGGCCAACAGGAAGTCCTGGCAAAAGACTGGAAGGAGGAAGCAGAGTCAAGGTATTTATTTCCCTGGCCAGTCCCCTGACTCCTTCCATCAGGCAGCCCTCTCCATCTCCAGGTTCCAACTCCTCCTACCTCCACAAGCCTAGACCTGTGATTTCTTTTCCCTATCTTTCCCCACAACTCTGTAAACAGTCCCTTAATTAAAGGCTCAAGTGATCTGAACTTAAATATACCTTAGGCTACCTGCTGCCACGCTGCCCCATACACCAGACAACAATGGGAAGGTACAAGTGGCACATGGGACAGAAGCACAGTCGCCCAACTTCACCACTTTCCAGCTGTATGACCCAGGGCAAGTTAGTGCTTTGTGCTTCCATGTCTACGCCAAGATGATGGCGATACAGGATAAGCAGTTCAAATTGGAGCTTGTGGTCTATTTTCAAGATGAAATTGACAGAAAGCCCGATTGTGTGACCGTTTACTTGGGGAGAATTCCATAACTGGGGCAGAATCTGCAGTTGAAACAAAAGCAATGACAATTATTAACCCCAGAGAAAACAAAAACCTTTGCAAAAAACAAAAAGGAAAAATAATCAGTACTCTATCTGGCTCAACTGTGTATAGTGTTCACAAAATCATATTAAACACTGAATATTGTTCTATCCAAAATTCCGAAATGACTATATTGGGAAGATGGGGGGTGGGGAGGTGTCGGGGTAGTACGCATGTGTTGAGGGCGGGGAATGGATGTGGTGGTAAAATCCTCATCTTCCTTGATGACAAGGCTCCAGATAATGCCTAAAGCTAAGAAAGTAAGAAGTAGCTAAGTATGGTATTTAATTAGATGAAGGTAAAACTCCAATTGGTTAGAGTTGAAAGTTGTTGCCTCCAGGGGAAGAAGTGGAAACAGACTGCTACTATAAGCTTTGCCAACCAGAAGGGCACACAGGGTTGGCAGGGCAAAGACTGAATTTATCCTCCTGGGCTTAGGAGGCCTCTGCTCAATTCCCACCCCAAAGCAGAGTATCCAAACTTCCCAGAATTTCAGACAAATAAACCAGGGCATATGCATGTAGGAATTTCTCACACATAAAACTACTAAGACAAAAATTAAACATGATTTTTAAATGGTTCTTGGTGAAGCATGAGAAGAAAGTTAACAATAGGTAACCTTTAATTGAGCACCTGCTGTATATGTTAGACATCTTACTAGGCACTTTATACTCAAATCCTCACCGCAATACTGGAAGGTAAGGTTTTACAACTGAGGAGGTGAGAAAAATTACCTAAACAACCCTAGGTCAACAACTAGTAAGTGAAAAAACCCAGGCTGTCATTAGTTTGCATCTGGACTTCTTCCACAGTGTGGTCACTATCAAATTCACCTAGATTCTGAAGCTCAGGGCTGGACACAGATGAACTCAATAAACACTAGCAGCTGTTACATCTCTTATTACATCTTAAAGGCAAGAACACCTAGCACAGGTGAGGAGGGACTTAGCCCTCAGGCACTGAATAAGGAAGCTCCACACACACCCAGCAGACACCAAGGCGATAGGTACCCTAGGGCTGTAGTACTGGCCACTGGCACTTGGAATGGAGGAGGGGACAACTGAAATGCTGAGGGCACATTAACAACCAAAGGCCTGTGGGGCTAGAGCAGGTCAGGCAGGCTCAACTCAAGGGCATAAAAATCACAAAAAGGGCAAAGGTGGGAAAGGCGAGCCCCTACCACTAGAAACAAGAAACACAGAATGGCGGTATCCTATTTACCTAGAGGATATGTGTGTAGGCTTTGTAGGCCGATTGGATGACCATTTAAATACCGGAGATTTACATTAAAAATATGAAATTCTCTTGGAGCCCACACAGCTAAGATGTAGCCAAGCAGCGAATGGCCCCTTGAGACAGGGCATGTTTTCCAGTTCACGCAGGCCCATCCAATCTGCCTTCCTCCTTTCCAGTACCTGCCTGGCCTCTGCCCTGTGATACCTGAGTGGACGTACAGTGGATTATGGAGTTTCTGGATGCCCATTCACCCCTAAGACTAAATCTTCCAGGAAGACTTCATCCCAGCAAGCAGGTACAAGTTCTTGGGTTCACCTATGGAAAGCAAACCGCTAAGAGGTAGCTTGTGCCTATCCAACAGCTGTGCAGTGAAGTCCCCTCTCATGGATGACTACTCTTCACAGGGAGTCGTTCTCATGTCCCATTCTGATGCATTCCAATCCCAGTTACTGACGTACAGGACTCTTCTCTTAGTCACGGTTAAATTCCCAGCACACAGCACAGGACCTAGCTAGCATTCAGCAGGCCCTCAATAAATTTATAATTAATGCCAGAAAAGCCCAAAGCACGTACTGTTGCCTCAAGGTTCAATTCAACCCATTCACTTGTAAGCTTCTATTCAACGACTCTCTACTCCGAGCTGAAAACCACTGTAGAGTTTACGGTCTAGTTGGTGGGTGGGGCGTGGGAACCTGTGGCGGCTACACAGTTGACATAGTCACTTAATTATAACGGTGAGAAGTTCTGCAAAAAAGCACTTTCAGAGCCGCCACTCACTGGCCAGCTGCGTGTGGCACCTTGGACAAGCAAGTTATCTAACCTCTCTATGCATTTCCTCGCTCTCAGAGTGGGGATAACAATGGGGTTTCTATAAAAACCAATGAGAGAATCCACAAGAAGCATTCAGAACCGTGCTGCACATATGAGAACTCAATAAATGCCAGCAGCTGTCACTTCTCTCATTGCATCCCCACATCGGCCCTTGGGCAGTATCATCCCCGTTTGGGACCCTGAGGAGCGACTCTCCCAAATCCACCAGACTCGAACCAGGTCTGTAGCCCCTGGGCTGGGCTCCACCCAGACCCCGTGCCGCCCCTCCCCACCGGGAGACTGTGTGTCGCTGGTAATTAAGGAGACTACTGCCCCCACGGATTGGCATTGTCCTCCTTCCTGTAGGAAGGAAGATGAGGGGGCCCTTGTCCTCGGCTCCCCCGCCCCCTCAGCCTGCACGGCGAGGCCCTACTGTCCTCTTCTTGCTATAGAACCTGGAGCAAGCTGCTCCCCAGTCTCCTCGTCTGTAAAATGAAGGCAATAGCACCAACCTCAGTGGGCCAGCCCCAGGATTAGGTGCAGCCCCAGGTCTCCATGTTACTAGCACGTTGTTATAATCACCGGTAGCGGCCTCACAGGGCTCGGACTGACCTGGCGCCCTCGCCCAGCGCCCCATGCGTATTGTAATTCACCGTCATGACCTTCACCGATTTCTTGAACACCACGTCCCCTTGGCCCAGGTACTGAAGAGTGCGGCGTATCGGGAAGCGGCCCTTCATGCGCATGGCGGCGGTGGCCAGGCGGTGAAGATGAGGCGAGGAGAGACCAGAGCAGCAGAAGCCGCCGCCGGTACACCACGCGCCGCTTCCCCTCGGCGCAAAGCACCCACTTCCCGCGCGGACTCGCAGGAGACGACTCCCGGCAGGCAGCGCGCGTGCGGCGGAGCACCCTGGAACTTGTAGTCCTGGCTCGGGTGCTTTGCGGTGGGGCTTGGTTTACGGGCTTGTACACCTTGCTTTAGAGCACCCTCCTCCTGAAACGTTTAGGTTTTTCACACCCCCGTATATTCGTTTTTCTCCTCCATAAGCGAAATTATTTTTAAATAGGATCAATCATTCAGACAAAATTACAGTAGGAAATAAATCAGGAGAGCTGAGTTCGATACCAAGTCGGCTAGTAACTTTCTATTCAACCTGGAATAAGTCGGTTCTCTCTCAACTGCTCGTTTCAAAATGAAGGGTTCAAGCCGTGCAATTTCTAACATTGACTAAAAAACTGATTTATAAAAGGAAAAATGAAACTTTGAGGGTACCCCTTCCAGGTTTAGACACTTAACAGCTCTTGATCTGTTTTTTTCATAAGCAAAACGTGGATGAGATGCATTTCGGAAGTACTACTCTTACTGATTTGAGTACGTTTTTATTTCTCCTTCATTTTTGAAGGATAATTTTGCCAGATATAGGACTCGAGGTTGGTGGGTTTTCAACACTTAAAATTTTTCACTCCACTGTCTTCTTGCATGGTTTCTGACCAGCAGTCAACTGTAATTCTTATCTTTATCTATAGATAATTTTTTCTTTTTTCAAGATTTTTCTCTTTGTCTTTGGTTTTGCAATTTGATTAAGATATATGTAGGTGTGGATTTTTAGTATTTATCCTCTCTGGTGCTCTCTGAGCTTCCTGGATCTGGTTTGGTGACTCATTTGGTTCTTAGCTATTATTACTTCAAATCTTTTTCTTCACTTTTTCCTTTCTGGTATTCCAATTTTACATCTTGTGAAATTGTCCCAGAGTTCTTGGATATTCCTTTTTTTTTTCATTCTTTTTCCCCTTTCTTTGCATTTCAGTGGAGCAATTCCTGTTGACCTATCTTTAAGCTCATTGATTGTTTTCTCGGTTGTCTCTAGTTTACTGATGAGCCCATGAGAGACTTTCGTTAGGTTTTTTTTATTTTCTAACATTTCCTTTTGACCATTATTAGTGTCTTTATCTCATCTTACATTACCATCTGTTCTTAGATATTTACTTTTACCATTAGACACATGTTAACGAGCTATCTTAAATTTCCTGTCTGATAACTCCAACATCTGTGCTATATCTACATGTAATTCTGATACTTGCTTTGTCTCATCAGACCATGTTGTTTTTTCTTCTTGCCTTGCCTTTTTTAGCGTGCTTCTCATTTGGTTGAAGAACTCTAGTATATGGATTGATGTTAATCTGACTAGGAATTGAGTTGTCTTTAATATTTGCTGTAGCTGTGGGAGCCAGAGGCTTCAAGTTCCTCTAGTCTTTTTTACCTCTCCTTCTGACTTTGGGCTTCCTTAGATATTCCTCTTCAGAAAGTTTGTGACTCTTTTAGCTGTAACCCACTGTTATTACTGGAGCCCTGTGGAGGAGAGGAAGCAGTCTATAATCTTATGATAAAATTCCAGTATTTTAGTGGGCCTATGTTCCTGTGCTATGACCTTCATAAGTGTTTCTTAATCTCTGTGATATTGCAATATAATAAATATATATTCGGTCTTTGTTCCTGGTTCTGGGCCAAATCTCCTAAGGGCCTTGTAATTTCCTTAATAAAATAGGAACATCTTTTGTCATAATCTCTGGGTTTGGTCCCCATTCCTAAAATAACTCTGGAGAGATAAAAGTGAAAGGAGCATCTTTTGTTATTCATGTCTCTGGTCAACCACACCAATTTTGGCAAATGAAGTGACTTGGAAAGCCCCTCAGAATGGGCTGGTTGCCAGAACCACAGGATTAGAGGGTTGGAACTTTCAGCCCCATGCCCCCAACTTCAGACCTCTGGGAAAGGAAGAGGGACTGGAGGTTGTTAATCACTAATGGCCAATGATTTAGTCAATCATGCCCATGTAATTAAGCCTCCATTAAAAAACAAAAACAAAAACAAAATCCCTAACCGAAGAGCTTGGGAGAACCAACAGCTTGGTGAACACATCAAGACGCTGGGAGAGTGGTGTGCCGAACGAGGACATGGAAGCTCTGCACCCCTTCCCCCAATACCTTGTCCTACACCTCTCTCCCATCTGGCTGTTCCTTAAATTGAATTATTTTATAGTAAACTAATAATCTAGGAAGTAGACTGTCTTCCTGAGTTCTCTGGGCTGTTATAGCAGATTACCGAACCCAAGAAGGGTGTTCCGGGAACCCCTGATTTATAAGCCGGCAAGTCAGAAGTACCAGAAGCCTACACTTTGCAAATGGAATCTGATGTGGGGGCAGTCTTGTGGGACTGAGCCTTTAATGTGTGGCACCTGACCAATCCAGGTAGTCAGCATTGAATTAAATTGTAGGACACCTAACTGGTGTAAAAGAACTGGTCGGTGTAGGAGAAAAGCCCATACTGTCAGAAGTGTGAGTAGTGGAGTTTATGGAAAAACAAGTTTTCTTTTGCCTTTCCCTTACTTAAGACAGGAAGGCTAGAGAGGGATGGAGTGGAGGAAATGCCTTTCCCCCAGATAGGATTAGACTCAGGTAGTTTTCCCCTTGTGGAATGCTCTGAGCTTATTTTACAAAGATGACTCTTCCCCTCCCCCTGCCAGAGCCACCAACAGTTCTCAGCTCTTATCTGTGAAAACCTGGAGTTCCTGGAGGCAAAACCCACGAAAATGTGGGATCTCCCTTAGGCCGTGGGCCCCCACGAGTTTCTCAGTCTCTGCTAGTCTGCATTCAGTCTCCAGCAACTCACCAAGTGTTCCTACCAGCTTGGTTCCAGTGGCTTCTGCTCCAGGTAAGATTTCAGCTGTAACTCTGTGCTTAATCTCACCACAGTCATTTTTTCATCTGTAAACTGGGATCGTTGGGAAGATTAAATGAGGTAATCCACGTGTAATACTTAGCATTCTGGCTGGCCCACAGTGAGCACTAAATAATATCTTCTCCTAGTTTAGTAATCTACATAGGTCCTGGTGAGGTCTGTTTCAAGGCTCAAGTGGTCAATATCAGAAACCCACTCAGCAGCTCCCAACCTCTGTTCCCACTGCCCATTTCTGCCACTTTTGGGCCAAACACAATGCTTGCACACTTCCACTGTGCCTGACCCAGACTGAACCCTACTTGTTGCTTAGGGCATAGTGGATCAGGCTGACCAGGCTTTAAATCTTCATTCCTCCCCTGACCGGCTGTGTGACCCCAGCCAGGCTAACCTCTTTCAACCTGTTTCTTCATCTGTCAGATGAATGCCTAAATAACTACCTCACAGGCCTGCTGGTAGAACTAAATGAGGAAACGGAAAATGTAGCAGTGCCTGGCACAATGGCAGCTATAAGGGTCCTCAAACTCACTGAGCCTGTTTCTTCCGATGTGAAATGGGGATAATAGGACGTAAATGATTTTACACTATACTTGCGTAAAATGGTTCATTTAGTCACCACTGCAGGAGTAACTGGGGATATGGGCAGAAGTGGAACCCATATTTATCCCAGTAAGAGCTCAGTGATCTTGATTCTGTCTGAAGGCCTTAGCTAGACAGGTAACATAGAAGCTAGGGCTATCTTCTGACACTCAATACGAAGGTCATTAAGCAAGGGGGGAAGGGATGTTATCTGGTGACTCTCGCAACATGCATGTGCACATACACACACCCCTCCAATCACTTACATCTGCTATTTTATTTTATTTTTTTTTAAAAAGGTACAAGGCCCCAGAGTAGTGCATGCAAATCGATGACTCTCAAATTGTCCATCATTGTCGTATGACCAGCACAATCTGCTACCACAGTCTGTGACCCGGTAAAGAGACCAGCTTCTCACTTTAAGTCCCATCACCTCACTATGCCAATGTCTAGCCTATCATCACATAGCTCATGAAGACTCAGGTACATTTTAGTATCTGAACAGCAAAGACACATTGAGCTGCAAGTACAATCAGTAAGTGTCCTTAGTGTATTAGACAGGGAAAAATCCAAACAAGAGAAAAGCCAACTTCATTTGATGCCTGAATCCCCAAAGTCTCTTCCATGTGTGATCTTTATCTAGGCAGACCTGCCAACGCCATATCAAGAACGTGCTCATTTTCCTAAGAGAGAATACCAGTTGCCTTGAAGGACTGCAAGAAGGATGAAATATTCACATGAGGTAAGAACTTAAAATTATGGCTGCAATTCACAGGCCATCTTTTCCATGATGTTAATTAATCTCTGTAAATTCAACTTTGGGTCTGTGTGAATTCTGGGAAATAGTACTGCTGAGAAATAGAGAATTCTAAATCCTATCATGTATATGATTATAGGAGAATATAGCCATAAAGAATTAAATGGAAGAATTCATGGAAGAGTACGGCCATGAAAGAATTCACATCAGAAGGTTTTAGTTTGGTTTAGGGGATATTCAGTGATTTTTTTTTTTTTTTTAGTTTTAAAAATGTTTCTTTTATGTGTGGTTCTCGATGCTTAGTTACTTACAGACTGCTACCTGTGGTTGATTTCAGGGAAAGGATATGTTCAGTGAACTAGTCTTATTTGAAACCACCAGCTAATTAAAAGAGATATTTTCATGAGAAAAGTTAGTTATGAGAAGCAGCATTTAGCTTCTTGAACTACCTGCTTTTTGGTGCAGAGACCTTCCTCCTCTTCAGTCAGAGAGAAATGACAGACTGAGCAGGGAGGAGCATGCAGCCATCCATGAAAAATTCCAGAATTAACAGCATGAAGGGCACAAACTTCGAGGAAGAAAAGATACCTGTACCAGGCAACATTTTAGATGCCTGATTGCCAACCTCCCAAAACCATCATGGTGATCAGCAAGGTTGGCAACTGGCTAACGTTAGTGACCACTCACATTCCTTTGTGAACAAAACCCAAATGCGAGGGAGCTTCCACACACACCCTCCACTGACTCCCCACATTCCCACACCCCTATACAGGACCTTTTCATTCAGTCTAAAGATCCAGTGGGTGCTAAATTAATGATAATAGTGTCAACACAAATACAGGTTATTTTTACACCACGATGTTTTTCAAACATTCCCAAGATCAACAGGAGTCTTCCCAGAATGTAACAAAATGAATTTTAGCACTCACACCAGTAACCAGTGACAGTATGACACAGAGTTAGTTTAGCTAAGGGGTATAAAGTGACTAGTGGTCAGTTACTGTTCATTAATTAAGAAGCATAATTGCAGGAACTCTACCCAGAGCTGAGCACTTAGGTATCATGATGTCAGATGCCAGTTAAGGGTTATGTTCCTGTAAACCAAAGCACCAGAGCTAAATTAACAATTTCCCTTTTTGTCCTCAACTGGAGAAGAGTTCAAGTACAACAGTGCTACCAGAATGGTCCTGGGTTGTGCCTCTTCAAACATTTCAGTTTCTTAATACTAAACACTAAGAAAAAAATATCTCACTGGTGCCCCAAGTCAGGACAAGATGAACCAAAAGGGAAGAAGGCTGATCAATTAGCCTTGAAAATTATTTTGTTTTATCTTCTGACTTAGGGAAGCTTCCACTCTCCTGACAAAGTTCCACAAAAGCTTCCTGATCGCCAATTCCTACATTATAGACTGGGTCCTCTGAAAAATCCCAAGTTCGAGTAATTTTGCCAAAAATCTAGAGGAGATGTCTCCAAGGACAGACAATTGTCCCAGCAGTCATTCAGTTCCAACAGAGCAACATTTGGGTGCAGACTCTTCTCCCAAATAATACTAGCTCTATGGACCACAAAGTTAACCACTCCTATTTTCTAAAAAGCTCACGATGAGACGGACGGTGATATCCCAGCAGTGAGTGTTTAACTTCCTAAAAGAGATGAGAACTTAAAACAGAGAAGGAAACAGACCCTAGTGAAACCTCATCCCTATCACCCGCGGGGCTCCCCTGGGTCTAAACTAGTGCCTTCCTAGCAATACCTCCCCCTTCCATTGTACAAGCAGGATGTACCCAGAGGGCAGAGGAAGCCCTGGGTGAAAGAAACCCACAGCCTAACAGTGAAAGACTTTTGCCAGGGCATTGTAAGGTTTAAAGGAACCCATCTTGTCCATCTTGGCTAAAGGGCCCTATATAAGGCTGCCCTATAATACTGCATAATAACCAAAGACTAGGCAGGAACAAATGGACCAACAGAACTGCATTTAGGTATACTGCAGTAGTAAAAATTTAAAGTCCCTTCTAAAGGGAAACCCCAAGTGAAAAAGAAAAAAAAAAAAACCAGGAAAAAATAAAACGGCAAATGAATGCTGATCCTTCCTGTTCTAGTTCCCATGTTATTATTCAACTGTAGTGGAAAAACCTTTAAATGCACAGCACTAAACAGACTTCCTCCCTTAATCTGTGTGCATCTTAATTCTACCCCTTCCTTCTTCCCATCAATCCCACCAACTCTCTCTCCTGCTCCACTGGCTTCTGCCAGGCCCCTGGACCCAAAGAAGCCCTGCCCACCCATTGGTCAGTCAGTGGCCCCCTTCTGTTTGGCCAGGGTGCGCTTCAGCTCTCTCAGGTTCTCCGTCAGCACCTCCACCTCATCCAGGCGGCCGCACTGCTTGGCATCAAAGATGTATGCCTTGATGTTATCAATCTGCTGGAGGAGGAGCTCCTCCTCTATGGGCTCCTCGCCCTCAGGCCCACTGTCACTGTCCATCTCAAAGGGGTTGGTACAGGTGGCTTCCTCGAAGGGGTTGCCAGGAAGAGGAGGGCTTGAGGGCCTCTGGTGGGGATGCTCATCTTCCTCATCGAAGGGGTTGGGTGCTGGGCTGTCTGAGTTAGTAAAGGGATTTCCTTCCACTGTCTCCTCTTCTTCCTCTTCCTCAAAAGGATTATAATCTTTGAGGATGCGGGATGAAGAGCCAAAGGAAGGCTCTGCAGCAGGAGGGCTGGTAGAGCCCTTTGCTGTGGGGCTGGAAGAGTTTTCCTCATCAAAGGGATTTAAGGAGGGGACCTCATCTTGCTGTGACATGGTGCTCTGGGGAAAGAATTCCTGGCCAAGAGCTGGGGGCCCAGACCACACTCTAATGGGCTCGAGAGCTGAGCTGGGTGAAGGGGTCTTGGCAGCTGCACTGCTCTGAACCAAGGAAGAGCCCAGATCCAACGCATGAGTAAGGTGGGTGTGAGGCTCTCTGCTGGGCTCCAGCTGAAAAGGCCTGATTTCTCGGAAGTCCAGAGACTGAGTCCGTGTGTGCAGGGATGCAGCCTGGAACTGTTCCTTTTCTCGTTCCCATTCCCGTTCACGCAGCATCTGCAGCTGTTCCCGTTGCAGGTCCTCCTCCTCAGCCTGCTTCCGGGACAGCTCAATGGCCTTCTCTGTCTGCTGCTGGTCATACTCATCCTGCAACTGCTGGAGGTTCTCCTGCAGTGTGCGCACTTCATCTGTCCGGCCTGCGGCCTTGGCCTGCCTGATAAATGATGTGATGTTGTGGATCTGCTGAAGGAGGGGGTCCGAATCTTCACTCTGTCCTTGACCTCCTGACAGTGGGAGCCAGCCCTCAGCCTTTCTCAAGGGGGCAGGGCCCCTGCGAAGAGATGCCACCTCCCCGTTGGCACGAGATAGCAGGTCACTCTGCCTTTCCTCAAGCCTTCGCTGAGATTCCAGGGCAGCCTGGGGAGACACCAAAGCCAAAGAAAAAAACCAAAGTCACTAGGCCAACAGCAGCCACACTGTCAGCTACCCTCTGCATTCCCACTATCCCTGTGCCCAGGAGACTCCAACTGCCCATCTAAGGATTAAGAGAGCCAACTGCTAAAATCAAGCCATGCTTTTGTTTCAGGGGTAGAAGAGGGGCAAACCCTGATTTTCAAAAATAAATTAATGAATAACAGTAAGTTAAGGGGTAAAATTTTCTTAATCTTAGATTCATCGTATACTTGTCGTAACCCTTTGAGGCCTATTACCACTCAGGTACTCTAGAATCTCACACAGTATTAAATACACGTATTACTTTCTGTTTAACATTGAGTATTCCAAAGTGTTCTACAAAGAACTCCCCGGTGTCTAGATCCTCTGCAACCCGTACTAGAGAGAGAACTGCCACGCTCTATGGTATTCTGGACAGGAGAAAAAGAGTAGAACCTCTGAAAGAAAAATAGGACTTGCAGAGACTGACAATTTTGATGTCTATGATGACAGTGAAGCCAGAACAGAACAGAAGAAAAATGGAAACTAGAGAGAGCAAAAGGTTCTGATTTACTACAACCTCACAGGAACTCTTGGGAGCCGGAGGAGGCCTCTGTGCTCAAGAGAGAAACAGGGAAGAAGCCAGACACCAGCATCCCTGTGCTTCACTTACCTGTCTTTCCAGTTTCCTCTTCCTCTCTATCTCCTGCTTCCTTTTCTTTTTTAGTTCCTCAAACTGTTCTTTGGTTGGCAGTGACATCAAACCAAGCAACTTTTCCTGTACGGAGTCACAGACAATTTTACACTTAAACCTTTTTAGGAAAAAAAAGAGCCTTAAGTGCTGTGGTGGAAGTCCTCTTAAGCTAAGGCACTCCATCTTCGGACAGTCACATTAATTAGCAACAGCAGGAAAGGACCTAACCCTTAAATCGGACCACACTTTCAAATGGGCCTGCCTTTTCCTTATGAAATGATACACACCAGGTATCCCAGTTACTCACATCCTAGTGAGGCCTTTCCCTTGCCCTCCCCATCTACATTTATAAGCCTCCATCCAAGCCCCCTAATACCTTTTCCCTGCTTTATGTTTGTCCACAGCACTTTCCAACGTAGGCTATATATTTTAGTTGTCTATATCCCTCTGTAGAATATAAGCTTCATGAGAACAGGAATGTTTATCTTTTTACTCTTGGCAGGATACCCACCAACTAACTAGGACATTGCCTGCTACGCAGTAGGCCTTCACCAAATGCCTGTGGAATATAGTCCCTAATCAAATGGAAAAAGGGCCTAATTCTCTGCGATACAGTGGTGAAAAACTAACCCAATAGGATTATTAGATCCCTCTGTCATGGAGCCCCAAAGGTGGTTAACTGTGACTCCTACAAGGGGCTTTCTGAGGTAGCAACAACTCAGATCAGCCACCTAGGTTTAGTCTGTCCTTGAACAATCAGCTGTTTTTTCCCAATCAATGGCCCACGAAGAGTTCCTTAGGAGTTATACCAAGGAAGAAATGCTATGGACATGTATGTCCATCAGGCAATACCCATAATAGCAAAAAAATGAGAATCTATCAAATGCCCAATGAAAAGAAAATGGTTAAATAAAGGATGGTATATAATTCAAAGCAGTATTTCGTAGCCATTCAAATGAGAGCTATTTGAAGACTATGCAAAAAAGTACTTAGGATATAAAATTCAGTGATAAAAAGTAAAAACATAAATTTGCAAATATATACCAATTATAACTACTTTATATAACAAATGTTAATGGAAATAAAACATACCAGAATGATGCATGATACTATTGGGGACATAAGATTAAAAGTAGTTTCTACTTTCCTTTGAAATCTAGATTTTTCTCTAAATGTGGCATAATACATTTATAATCTTACAATGTACAAATAAAAAAAAAAAAGCCAGTGGCTTGGTCTGCCTCCTGAGTGGTAGAAGAGCAGGGGAGGCAAGTGACACATTTCTGCCACCCCAGGATGGCTTTACCTGCACAAAAAGTGTAGCTGAGTATCTGATCATCCTCTGCAGCCGCAAAGTGTTTAGATGTGGTGGAGGATCCTGGTTCAAGCCCAGGGTTAAGATCTTCTTACTGAATTGAAACAAATACATCAATGTAACAAGCTCTGCCAGCCTCAGAAACAAGGGTGAGATGTCTCTGAGTTGCCAGGCTTGCATGCTGGGAAGGTTTGTGGAGCAGATGGGTTAGACTCCACTGAAGTATCCTTGAAGGTAAAGCCCGTTTCTCACTTTTTGGCTGTACCCAAAGCCCCTAACACAGCACAGACTTCATGACAAATATTTGGCCATCATGACAAATATTTGGCCACATGTGTAGGGCCAGCTTCTTGGGTGAGTGACCTATGGTAGCACAACAGAGTCTGGTGCTGAGAAGAGCCCTGAACTTGGTTTAAGATTCTGCTGTCATTGTCTTAAAATTCTTAATAATTTTGAACAAGAGACTTGCATTTTCATTTTGCACCAGGCCCCACAAATTACATAGCCAGTCCTGCATGTACGGATGGACAAGGATTTCTCATCTCGGTTCTTTGAGTCACTGTACTTCCAACACTGCAAAAGGCTAATTTAACGCCAACACCCAGCTGGCTGTGGTGCATTTTCTCACCTATAAAATGGGGATATTAATCCCTACCTCATACAGTAACTTTGGTAGGATAAACGAGCTACAGCTCCAGTGATTATTTCCTGGCACACAACTGGTGTCAATAAGCTCCTATTCCTTTAATAATAATGAACATTAGAAATATTTAACCAAAAATTACTCGGCTTCCTCCTCAGACATACCACTGTCACTGGGACTTTCAGTAAGTTCAGGTTTGTTTGCCACTCAACGACGCATTAAAACAGCACCTCCACCACTCAAGGCAGCAGGTAGGACATCATCTAATACACCTTACCTTAAAGCATCTATTAGCTCGTACACTTTCTGCACTTCTATTCGAAGGTCATTGGCATGTTCCAGGCTGTAGGTTGTCTCTCCAGCACTAAGGAAGAATCATAGAGATGTTTGATCTGAGTTTCATCACACTAACTGGAGAGTATAGTGTAAAAGGACTCTAAAGGTTTAAGGTCTCACAAAGAGAAACACAGTTAATTCTCTCCAAGTGGCATTTCACTCTTGTATATAATGTAGTGCTCATTCCTTTTCAAATGTAAGTGCTAATCAAATAGAAGCCACTTTTCAGTTTGCAAACACCATAAGAATAGACTCGTGCCTAGGCCTCCGAGGCCTAGCTCTTAAGCTCATGGCCAAAATAAATGCAACTTAGTCTGCTTAGGCTTACTTTCTCTGAACAATTTCACTACATCTAATAAGATTTATGAAGTAGTTTACTAAATGAGTTGGTTAAACTACATCAGAGCAGAAAGCACTTGGCTTTTCTCACTCAAAGTCTACTACCCAGGGACAACAAAAACAACAGGAAAGCTGACAAAGGGAGCCCCAGGGGCGATATCCAGCATGGCATTGTATCAACTGCCCCATGCTCATGGGTCTCATGAACAACTGCTCCCTACATGAGAAAAACACTTTGACTCCAATCGAGAAGGGAGGAGAGGGAGGAACTCTGTCCACAGTGGAACAGGGGGCATCAGGGAAGGCCAGAGGTGGCTTAACTCCAGTCTCCGAGAAATAATAGTAGTTATTGTGTGACCTTAGAATTGTTCATTTACAAGTCTGTCACCTCCACCAGACTGTTGAATTCCAAGTGCAGTGATTGTGGCTTTTTATTTTTATATCCTCGGTAACTAGCACATGGGGCAAGCTTCATCAGTGTTTACTGAGAAACAGTTCAGAAGATATTGCAGCTATTAATCCAGCCTCAGCAATGGCCATTCAACTCCCACTCTGAGGTGGCAGCAATTTAAGTTAAATAGGCAGAAAGGACTGCTGCATTTACCTATTTTACCATCTATAAAACAGTCAGAGCTGGAAAAATATTGGTGTGTGCTATAATTTGAGGATTCAGTGAAGTTGTTTCATTATCTCTCACTGCATAGTTTACAAAAAGAACATCGGACTAGAATTGAGAAGACTTGTTTGTGCTGTTTTAAGATCTCCAAGTTATGTGGAAAAGAACATGGTTGGCCCAAATCACTTCCCCTGGTGTCAGTCACGCCAACCAATTCAACTGTATTTCCCTCGGAGCAACTATCACATCTGAAGTTATTCTGTTCATTATTTGTTCACTTGGATATGACCTGTGCTCCCATGAAAATGAAGCTTCACAATAATGGACACTGTCTTTACTGTTCATTGCTATTGCCCCAGCACCTAGACAAGAGCTTGGCATGTAACCAGTGCTCAATAAATATCCATTGAATGAAAGAGTGAGACAATTAAATGCACTTAAAGCCCTTTAGAACCTTCCTTTCTAAGGGGAAGGAGAAGTCAGACATTTGGAAATGTGCTCAGCAATGCTAGTTTCCCAACTGGCTAGGGAGGCCCATCAACTCACAATTGTATGTGTGGCGGGGGGGCAGGGGGGAGGTGGTGGTGGGCAGGGCACAAAGCAAAAAAGGAGCAAGACTCAGGGAAAGGAGCCCCTTGGTAACAAATGCATGAGGAAAATACTGAGTACTAGCTCAGATTACCAGGAACACAGCTCTCCTTGCTGGCAGGTAGAAGACAGTTCTGCTCTAATGTCAAACCAATGGGTAGGGATAGGAGGAGGGGTACTGATTCCAGTAAGCTTCAGGGAGAAATGGAGTACGAGACAGATCCTCTAAGCCAAGGACTTTCTATTTCAGGAAGATATATATCAGAATCACCTGGGGTACTTCTTCCAACCTATTCACAGAAAGGGCAGTATGTTCTACTGACTGAAACTCTTGCTCAGTGAATTACAGGTAGAGAAGAAAATGGGTTCTTTCTCTGCAGTTCTTCAGAACCAGGAATGGAAAGAGGAAGAGTGGGGTGCAGGAGGTGCATATATAAGGAAGAAGGGGCCCTAGGACAATGATGGCTGTGAGGGCTCAAGAAATAGAGTTTGTTTCCTTTCCACTCAGGGGAAGGGGTGTTTTTGCCATAAACCAACTGGGTTTAGTCTTTCATGTTTTGAAAGTCAGAGATTTACAGACTCAAGAGTGAGGAAACTCCTTAAGGACTACACAAACAAAAAAGTTAATTTTCTTTGCATATGAGACCCACAATGGGCTTAGAACATGATCACTGACACCATGAAGGAAAAGCCAAGCTTACACTTTTGTTTTTTGAAACTGCTATATAATATTGTCACTATAAATGTTCAATAAAAATATAGGTTTGTGCTAAACAAGATACATCTAATTTTACATGCATCAACTACAAAGGTGGCAGGTGGGTAATACAGGCTTAAAACAAAAGCAGACAATTCTTAAATTGAGAACACTGTACACCATAATTAATTTTTTTTCTGCAGGTTGGGAAAAAAACTGCTGGGATTTGATTTTAGTAGTAGCACCTCAAATTCTAGCTCATATCACTAACCTTCAGAAGGAGCAATGCTCTTAAGAAAGTCAGCAAATTTTTTCCATAACGAGAGAGGGGGAATGAGCTGACTGCTAAAGTGTCTGGAGTTTATTACTAGGATGATGAAAATGTTTTAAAATTGAGACAGTGGTGATAGTTGTACACATTTGTAAATATACTAAAAACTACTGAACTGTACTATACATTTGAAAAGGGTGAATTTTATGGTGTGTGAATTATATCTTGATTTAAAAGAAAGAAACAATGGCAGGCTAGATTTGGCCCATGGGCTGAAGTTTGCCAACCCCTGCTCTAAAGAAAATGCCTGCCCTAAGTGGCATCTACCCAGGCAAGAAGAGAAAGCATACTGCCCTTGCTCACCTCCAGATGCTGCACTCAGCAGTGGTGCCTATTGTCCAAAGCCCTTCCCAAACCTGCTCAAGCAGAATAGCTGGGGTCACCTAAATGGATGGCTACATAGGACAGTAATGTGCGCCACACAAATAATAAAGACATGAGAAAAAAAAATGGCGTTGATGATAGAGGCTCTGTTCATACCTCTGGCGCCCAAATCAAAGTTGTGATGGAAACAAGGAGCAGCAGCAAGGGAAAATCGCCTGGGATGAACAAGCCATACAGCTAGGGAGAAATCCAAGAAAACACCCTGCAACGGCAGAAGGTAGGATGGGGTGAGGACTCAGGCTGCCTGGTCTTGAGTAGCTGAGTGAGACAGAGGCTATGGCAGAGGCAGATGCCTCTTAAAGGGGCCACATCCACAAGCAGATTTCCCCAGTGACAGACCTGCTTACTCTGACCACCAGTGCTGATTGGACTGGGCACAGGGGACACCAGGGACTTACAGGGAGACATTGTCGGAATGAGGCGAGACTTGCTCTGTACAGAAGTGGTGGTGTTATCAACTCTTTCCTGTTGAGCCCTCCCCTATACCAGTGCGCTGGACATAATGCCACCATAACCCTGACGTCATCAAACTGGATAACAGAGGTCACTCCGCCTAGAGAATTCCCTGAAACTCCACGTCCCCCAACTCAGAGCCCCACCCAAGCCACGTCCAGGTATATCCTCAGTGAGTCGGGTGCTCCTTGCTGAGCAGTGCCTTGACTCACACTGGAGGCAGCTGGCCTCGGTTTCTGGCATGGCCTTTTGAGGCAACTATAAGCACAGCACCTGTGGATTGCTTGCTGAATCTTAGCAGGTGGCCCTGGAGGGGCAGAGGCATGGGCTAAATTTGGCCTGCAGCTCAGGACTGTGCCACTGGACACCTACTTCACAAATCCATTCTAATAAGACCAGGAGACTTAGGAGCTTTGCTTAGTATGTAGAAACAGACACGGAGAGACAGCCAAAATGGGAAGACAAAGAAGCAAAAGCCATATAAGAGAACAGAACAGAGATCTAGATATAATGGAGTCAAGTAATATAACAGATGTAGAGTTCAAAACACTGGCTATAAAGATGATCAATGAACTTTTGGGAAGTGTAGAGAACTTCAACAAAGAGATAAAAACATAAAAATGGAAATGGCAATTATAAAAGGGAACCAGTCTGAAATGAAGAGCACATAATCTGAGATGAGAAGTATATTAAATGGAATAAACAAAGTGAATAAAGAAAAGGATCAAATGCTCTATCTAGAGGACGGGAAAGCCAAAGACACACAATCAGAATGGCAAGATAAGAAGCCAAGACTATAAAAACTACTTATGGAGCATATGGGAGACTAATAAGGGTGCAAATATCCATCTGATTGGTGTAACTGAAGAAAATAAAAATGTCAAACAGCTAT